GGCGGCCGAGAGAAAAGAGCACTCGAAATCGCCGTATACGAAGCTTGGCGGATTTATCGGCATCCTTAGGCGTCCACTTTATCAAACGTGGCGGCCAGAGGCCGGGTGAGGCTTTCCCTCGCGTGAGAAAAGCTCGCGACGACGCGCCGATGAGCGCCGAGTCCATTTGTATTTCTATGCCGTACTCGAGTGCACAGCTCGCACACGCGTACCTTGCCGCTTATAATGATATTAACAATCACGTGCGCGTCTTTGATGATTCGAGACTCTCCAGTTTGTAATTGCGTTATGTCTAGGTACTATATGGAATTAAATATATATGTGTAATATATAATTGAGAATGATTTTTCACCTCGTCTTTTCGACAATGTTCTTCCGAAGATTGGATTTATAGGAAGGAGCCAGGGAGATTTATCATCGCTGATTGGCGTATAATGGTGCTGAACTTCGTGGCTTAACGCGTTGGATTTAATATAGTGTGCAGCGGTGCTTACACGTAGGCCTCCTACTTGATCCTTGTGTCGAGTACGTGTAAATGGCCCACTGACTATTTTGTAATTAACTCGAGCTTGTAAATATTACATTTACATAAGACAATTGCAGGATTACAAGCTGCTTCTGCAATTGAGCAAAGAAAAGTGTTGGGGATGGTGCAGCGACGATGACGAGATCAAATGAACCGAACGTCAAGCTGCTCGTACGTTGCCTATTTAATGCGACGAGATTAACGACAGCTAGCTCGAGCGCGACAAAAGGAGGCTGTATCGCAATTGTCACTTGGACTTTCGCGCCACCTCCTCGTCGTCGTCATCCTCTTCATTTTTTTCTTTCGTTCTCTGGGTTCGCGTGCGCGCATAAACGCAAATTAGAGACGCGCGGCTCTTTCACCTCCGATCCATACGATCCTGGAGTATATGGCATATGCTCAGCCGCCTTGGCCGCTATAAAATCACGAGTCGAGCGTGCGGTAGTAAATTTAGAATTTGCCGCGATATATGGCGCTGGCAGAATATGGCTCTTCGATAATGAAATTCCAATGCGTATATGTATACGTACGAGCAATGCAGGAGAATAATTACAAGTGACGATCCGAGGAATAATAATATCCAAACACGTATTTTGTGTGTCGGAGTAGAGGGAAAAATTTGCCATCGTATTAGCCGCAGCTGCGGTATTGGATGCGCGCGTCACAGGCGGCGATCGAACAAAAGCCTAATGTTTGTCGCGCTAATAAACACGCGGCTTTAACACGACATTGTGCTCGAAGCGGCACACGTATATAAGTACGCCTATATAATAAAGGTATACACACATTATAGGAGCTCGCGCAACACAATCGTGTCATTCTTATAATCTTATACGCGCGCCACGTGTGTGTGTGTGTATGTATATACAGTAAATGTGTGGATCTGCTGTGCGCTACTATATATTCACTCACGCGCTGCGGTGAAAATTTCGAGTCAACATAATGTAATAATAACAATAACAACAGCATTGGTCGGACCGATATCGTCGTGTAAAGTCGATTAACACCATTGCTATTAATCTTCGACTCTCGACGATCGTAGCTCCGACTCGTTCGGCTAATGTCCATAATACTGCAATTCTACTTGCGACTTTTCACGTGCGCGCACCGATACTAAATGTCCCAAGTGCGCCATATAGCTGCGCGCGATTATACAGCAAAGATATTCCATTGTTAATGAGGTGGGGTCTGAGCAGCATCGACAAAACACGAGAGACCCGGGGCTGCTGCTGCTGCTGCTTTCTCTCTTATTAGCTTTGGATAGAATAGATGTACTTATATAGATGCGCTTCTACATGAATACACATACACACATGTGCCGCACTGGAAGGAAATGGAAAGTAAGCTTCGGAGGCGCTGCTGCAACTCTGCGTCCGTATGTGTGTGTGTGCACATGTTTTCTGACTTTTCGCACTGTTCGGAGAAAGAGAAGACGCATAATCGCGCGTTTCAAATGGAGCATGCGGAGCTTTTTATCTTTGCCGCGCGTATACGATATTATACGTAAGTTGCATTATTATTCATGATTGTTCTCCAAGTATAATTTGGCCCGTGACAGAAGGAACGCCAGGACGCCGCATAGAAAAATAAACGAGCGGACTGCGATAAAAAACATGATTTATAGAAAAGACAATTCTCATACGTCCGTGTGTATAAAAGTGCAAAGGTTCGATATCTATAGGCAGTCGGGTATATTTGTCAAGCGATAATTATATCGTCGTGGAAAAAGGACGTTGAAACGTTTGGCTCTTGGCAGTGAACGTGATTCGCTACGCTGTTCAAACATTATAAGTAAATTTTGCTCCTTCCTACGCGAGCCGTGTATGTGTAAGCCTACTGCGGTACACATCCAGTGTATGCATAGATGGACGCGCGGCCGAGATTAAAATCGTGATCGTTTCATCCGCGCGCAGATCTCGTTGTGGTTTCCGTGTAACTGAACTGATTTTCCTGAACGCGCGCGAGTATACGTATATATTATATTCACGTCGAGGTACAGAAACGGTGAAAGGAAAAATTAGCCTAACTCGGTATAGAGCGCAGATAAGTAGCAGATCGCGTTCGCTGCACCGGACGCTAACTCGAGTCTTGGTCATCGCGGATTCGCTCGTTATTATGCCATCTCTGGACAAACCGAAAGTTTCAATCGCGTCGACGCGCGGCCAATCAATTTTCTCATCTCTCTTCTTCTCGCCTTCTAATATCGGCTAGTCGCTCCACGCACCTATCTATGCGCAGCCCGAGTCACGCAACAGCACAGATCGCAGAGGTATACGCGGTGTAAAACAACAACAACAGCTGTGCAGTCGCAATCGTCGCGCATTAGAGAGAGAGATGCGCTCGCGAGAAAGCCCAATCCAGCAACGTGTAATTCGCTACATCAACCCTCGAGCCGACGTACCTTTATTTCTCACGCCTTATACGAGTGTGTGTACTTTGGAGCCGATAAGAGCTAAATTTCCAAAGGCCATTATGATTATGATTAGCGCGGCGTCGTTGCTTTTTGTTGAATTTGCAAGGAAGGAAGGACAATGATTATGCGTTGCGCAACCATATTCCTGCAACTACGTGTATTCTCGTAATTGTGTGTGTGCTCGCGGGAGAGCCGACGATTTTCGAAGCCCATCATCTTTTCTCGCTTTGCGCGAGCGAAGCTCTGCGCACCCTCGCACGAGTATCGAGCCTCGCGAGTCGTAACGCCGCATATATAATATTTATTTTACGCCGCTACGTAGTTAGCGCAATGAAGCGAAGCCAAGCGGCGATCGGCCGTTTCTCGCGAATCCGCAAAGTAGTGTGTACAGTCGCTCGAGTCCGAAAGACTTTCGCTCGCCGAGGGTAAAAACTAAACGCGGCGCGCCGCACCGAGATTTCGCTCGAACGCGTGCGGATGAAAAGCTCCGATAAGCAGAGAGCTTTTTATTATTATTTATATTTCTATTTTAACGCGGCGCGCCTGACCTTGTTACAAAAAGCTTAATGCCTGGACGTCCGTGTAATATATTATAATACGTATAGAGAGAGAGAGAGATGCAGGAGGTGCAGTTTCACTTTCAAAAGTATTCTGCGTGCTCCACTTTGATTATATTATTTATATTTTACACGCACGCGGGGCTTGGAAAGTGTAGCTGTACGTAGCGGACGCGCGCACACATACGCAGTACACACACATGCTCACTCGTTGCATGGGCGCAGAGGCAAAAAGTTATTTTTGCCAAAAGTATTTTTACGAAAATCCGTAATTACGTTTGTGCATAGCACTTGTAGTTAAAGCACACGCACGGGTTTAAAAATGAAAGTTTCGAATGCGCGCATGATCTCGCGCGCGAACAAGAGTTCGACCTCGAGACGTGCTCGACTCACACACGTGCTCTTAATAATAAGTCAAAATTATTATGACAAGAGGCCGATTCTTTCGGGGGGGGAAGAAGCGCTCGAGACGCAGTGTAACGATTCGAGACGCACTATGGCCTCGTAAAAAAGAAAACACAATGTGGGCCTTGTTATACTTTATACTCTGACCAAGTACAACAAAAGCCTCGCGCCACGAGCTATTGGGCACAAAAAAAACAGCAACGCAAGAGTAATGGTCCAAGTATTGTAATTTGTATATGGCTCGACGGTCAAAAAAGATCGTGTCGGAGCTAAAAAAAGAGCAACGATGCAGGTATCATAATATGTAATAGGCATATTGCCGATTGCCCAAGTATAGCTGCTCGCGCGACTCGTGACAGATATACGATTCGAGCCTATTTTACAGGTATAGGTGCTCGCGCGCGCCATGTAGAGGATCCTTTTCCGCTTCCATATTAACGCGCGAGGAATGATGCACCTCTCTTACTCTCTCTCTCTCTCTCTTTCTCGTATTGGGCCTCGCTCGCCTTTACGTAATTTCTCGCGCTCGACGCGCCGTACATGGTATAGCCGTGTGCAGTGCTCTCGGTGCGTCTGTGTGTATACACAGTGTATAACAAGGCGCTGCTCCGCCGCTAATTACATATTATATGCGCGCTCGCGACTTATAATGGAAAATCCGTGTATATAATCTAATCACACGCGTAACTGCGCGGCACCAGACCCTCCGCGCGCGTACACGTTCCTACATATATTATACGTATACGCAGACGCGTTTTTTCGCATTTATCTGCGCGCGGATTCTCGGGCTTAATTGCACCGAGAGTATATCGCTCGCACGTGTAAGCGACTCGGGCCCATTGTTGCTCTCTCTCTCGCTCCCTCTATCTCGCTCTCCGACTCGTGTTTTACATGAGCATTTCCACGATATGATATCTTAATAATATAATCGCATGTATCGCACCCGGAACCCCAGCTGCTTATCCTTCCTTGACTCGCTTCTACTTCCGACATTGCTTAGCTTCCTTTGCTTTTCAACTCGCTCGTTTAACATGCAAAAGTCCTGTCATCTATTGCGATCGATCGTCTCGACTCAACCCGATTCGTTCTCTCTTCGCAGGTAACAATAGCATTAGTGTTGATAGCATTGCTGGCGCTGGCCAGCGGCGCCGACGTCCCGGACAAGTTTCAAGATGACGACGACCTCGTGGCCGCGGCCTCGTCGTCCTCGTCGGCCACGACGTCCCTTCCACCGCCGCCGCCGCCCGTCAAGCTCGATAAGAATCTCCGCCGGGCACTGCTCAAGGCCCTGGTGGACCTGGAGGCCGAGTCGGCCGAGCAGAACAGCGCCGGCTCGACGGCCAACGGCAACGGCAACGGCAACCTAGGCGGCGGCTTCGATTTTGACGCCGCCACCGACAAGTACGACTTCCTCGAGATCTCCAAGCAGAAGGTCGCGAGCTACTCGTTCGATGCCGGATTCCCCAGCGACGAGGACCTGCCCAGCGAGGACAAGCTCCAGAACTCGAGCTTCGTCGAGAGCGACAAGCTCGACCTGGCCAAGGACGAGCACCTCGACTCCGTTAAGGACTTTGGCAAGAAGACGCAACCGCCCAAGGATTACACCAAAGGCGTTCAGGTAAGCCATCATCCGCGAGTCAAAGTAGTAGTTTGATTCGCGATGATGCAATACGAGCCCGCGCGGAACCCATTAATTTTTCCATGATACACAAATTACGCCGCTGTGGCTGCTGTGCAGGAGCTGCATATAATCAGACGCGGGGCGGACCAAATCGCGCGCGCCATCCCGACGCTAATACGAGAAAACGCAACACCTCGGTAACGAGCTCAATTTCCGCGCGTGATTGATTAGCCATCGCGTCATTATTTATCCTCGCCGTAATTTCCTTGGCTATGTATGCGGCTCGCCTCGACACGATGGATTTTCGACTCATGCGGAATACGTACCGTGCCGCGCCGCCGATCAATTAAACATTCTCGCGCGGCAATTATTATCTTTCGCCGCTCCTCGCTTTATCACAAACAGATCGTAAAGTAGCTTTCTAACGAATATTTTCGTAGATAATATATTATTCAAAGAAAGAATCCGGACAAGTAGGAGGAGGAGGTCGAGGCGGTCGAGAACCATTTGCTCAAAAATTACTGCATAGCTGAATATTATTCCATGTGTGTATCGGTTTGATATATGCGTAAACGCATGGACGCGCTCAAAGGCAAGTCTGAAAGCCTTCGTATTTCGCGTTTATTTATTGAACACGCGGAAACATCCACGTGTGCGTATGTGTATGTATACACTCGAATGCCGCACATGTGCAGTACATATATTCATATACGCGCGTGGACATCTGTAAAGGTGACTTTCACATTATATTATTAACTTTTGGAATTGCAAGCCGACTCCCGAGCACTTTTCCGCGCTATATACGCACGAATACATACGTGTCTTTTTTCTTTACTTTTTTCCAAATCAACTCGACCAGTTTATTTACGAGACAATTTTAAATCAAATGCGATTTTCCCCGTCCGAATATCCCGCACGCGACATTGGGCATCGGGTCCATTAAACGCGTTTTAGTGTACAGCGTCAGCTTTTTCTCGCATAAAGTCATTTTCCTTTGATGCATTCATACCACATAGATGTATGAAAATCTTCGGATCATCTCATATTTCATCGTTTAAAAATAATTACTTTTCTCAAGCCATAACATAATTTGGCCGTGACTGATACAGCTTTGTTAAACTTTAAATAGCTAGGTCTGGAGAAGTAATTCTTGCGGGAAAACGTGAAAAGCCAGCAGAGATTTTTTCGATTCTTTAAAATACTTCACAATCATTCGTACAGTTTAGTCGATATGAGCATTTTGAAGGATTTCACTTCGTAAACGAACTAAATAACATCTTGATCGCTTTACCATTCAAGTAATATAATCAAATTTGAAAAAGGATGAATTGCGCGGGTATAATTGTTTCTTTGTTTCGCATAACTCCGCTATCTCTTTGGACGATGCCAAGCAAGTGCAAAGTTACGCGGAGAAACACTTCAAGATCGTTTGTTTCGCTCTGGTTATTAGCGGAAGAAACTGTTTTTCCCATATTAAACGAGGCTTGCGACGGCGCTTCCACGGATTCTCGAAATCGATCAATCTGGCTGCCATTTTAAGCGCATGAAAATTTGTTTCAGGTGCATCACGTAATACCATCGATCATTGACAAAGCCACGGCCATCTACGAGACGAAATCGGAGCTGCTGGATGCCGTCGAGTCGCGCTCGGGTCTGAGCTCCGCCTCGTCGTCGCCGGCACCCACAACGACGAAATCCGAGCCGACGACAACGGCCCCGACGACCAAGACAACGAATTCCAGCGCGTCCGATGGTAAATCGAGCTTGATCCAGAAGAGCGTGAGTCTGAGCCCGATCACCAAGACCGAGACGCTGCAGCTGAGCGCGAGCGGCAATCTGGCCTCGGCGGCCGCCAACTCGCTGGTCGCGCCACGGCCCACGGCGACTCCGCTCAACGTGAGCAGCAGCAGCGTCACCCCGGCTGTGAGGCTGCAGTCGGCCCTCGTCAACGGCACGCTCAAAAGCTCCGCCAACAGCGGCTCCAAGATCGTCCAGATCGTCAAGTCCTTGTCGAGCGGCAAAAAGACCAGCAGCAGCAGCAGCAACGACGAGGAAGTGAAGATCTTCCAGGCGCCCTTGGTGGCGGCCTTCACCGTGCAGCAGGACGAGCGGGGCATACCCAAGAGCGTGGTGCCGCTCTACAAGGCCGCTCCGGCGGGCGCGAAAGGCGGCCAGGCCCAGCAGCAGCCGCTCAGCCTTCAGGAGCAGCTGGAGTTCAAGCAGCGGCTGCTCGAGAAGCAGCTGGCCGAGCTGCAGGTGCGGCAGCAGCAACAGACGCAGTTCCTGCTGAGGCAGCGCCAGGCCTACGAGGAGCAGTTCCGACAGAAGCAGCAGCAGCAGCTGTTCCTTCAGGAGCAGGCGAGGCTGAAGCTGCTACTGGAGCAGGAGCAGCAGCAGCGACTCTTGCAGCAACAGCAACAGCAGCAACAGCAGCAACAACAGCAGCAGCAGCAACAGCAGCGGCTTCAGCAGCAGCAACAACAACAGCAGCAACAGCAGCAGCAGTTCACGGTGCAGCAGTTGCCTCTGCCGAGATTGCCGCAGAACTTCCAAGGAAGCAACAACGTCCAGCCGCCCCAGCAACAGGTGCAGCAGCCGAGCTTCGTCCAACAACAAGTCGTCCAACAGCAGCTGCAGCAACCTCAATCCAACTTTGTTCAGCAACAACAGCAGCAGAAACAAGCTAACTTTCTTCAACAGCAGAAGCAACAAGCCAATTTCATTCAGCAACAAAAGCAACAAGCCAACTTTGTTCAACAACAAAAGCAACAGGTCAATTTTGCCCAGCAGCAAAAGCAACAGGTCAACTTTGTTCAGCAGCAGAAGCCACAAGCCAATTTTATTCCGCAGCAAAACGTGCAATCGAACTTTGTTCAGCCGGCCATACCGCAAGGAAATTTCATTCCCCAACAAGTTCAGCAGCAGCAGCAGCAGCAGCAGCAACAAGGGCCATTGAATGCGCCCTTCATTCGTCAGCAAGTGCCACCTTTCGTCCAAACGCCAGTGGTGCCGTTTCGCACGACGGTCCAGCTCCAGCCGAGTTTGAGCCTCGAAGTGCCGAGTCTCGCACCAGCCCAACAATTCCAGCCACGCGACAGTTTCTTCCTTCCCAACAAAAACAACAACGTCAATAACAATAACAACGTCAACAACAATCAAGCTCAGCTGAACAGATTCAACCGACAAGAAGCCTTCAATTCCGTGGGTAATTTTGGCTTCAACAGCTTTCCAACGAACGACGAGAAACTACGCAGCCAACAACAACAGCAGCAACAATTCGTCCCGAGGAGCAACAATTTCGGCAGCTTCAACGGCTTCAGACAGCCAGCGAGGCCACAGTTCAGTCAGCAGCAGCAGCAGCAACAGGTGACACCGGCGCGGCAGATCCAGGAGTTGCTCTATCAGTCGGGCATAGCCGGCGATCTGCAAGGCGCAGGGACGCGCAATCAGGAGGACATCAACATCGTGTCGAAGGTACTGGCCCTGAACGTGGGCTCGCAGCCGCTCAGAACGAGTCTCCTGAAAAAGTGAGCGATCCGCGCGAACGACGACTGGATCAAGCTGCGAATCGCAATTGTGAAAATGTATGCGAGTGTGCACGTGAAAACTATTGTTAATTACTCGGGACGTATTGTTAAAATGGTGTATGCGCGATTAATCTAATTCTGTTTATTTTTTCTTTCGAGCGAACTGTGCTAAACGTTACGTTGAGAGTTTGGGGTACATATGTATATCTATATCTCGCGTATAGATAGATATCGTACGCACGAATGTCATCTTTCTTTAGTATAACCGAGCCATAATATATACTTTTAAATATATAATTACTTGTATACTCCCCCTCGATATTATGTAATACACAGTAACGAGAAAAGTCTATATTATTTAACGTTCGAGCGAAAGAAAGTATTTTTTACTACGATACATAATATGATGTACATAGAGAGAAAGAGAGATGCGAGATGGAGAACTCCTGCTTCTACCTGTTTCACTTTCATTGCAATGATAAATTTCAATTTTGCGCCAAGTAGAGCCTCGCTCTGCCTTAGAGAGAGAAAGAGAAGAAAAATTGCCTTTTTACGGCCTGACAGATCTATAATTGAGAATTATTATTTACCCTCCCCGCCTAACTTTCTTCGAAATGCGTGTAGAATTTTAAGTTGATCGTTTAAGCGTTAAGCAAACTGTTGTTGCAACGTATAATAATAAAATAACGTTTATAGTCAAAGTGCTCAGTTGGATGAGAAAATGCGGCAATTTAAATATCACCGTGTGGCATTTACCGAATGGCTAATTTTTTAATTGTACATGGAAAACAAAATTTTTCAGCGCTTGCAATAATAATCAATGTTACATAATGTTTCCACGTAATTTTTAATCATTAAAAATATTTCATCATTTATCTAATATGTACATGTATTTTTTTTTTATAAATGTAAAGAAAGCTAACGCTAAAATTGTTTGTTTGAAATAAATAAACGTAATATACGAACGAAACGAGTAATTGGCTGAATTATTGTATAAAACGAGCATCCTTAATACAATTATATACAGCTTCGATAATGATAAAATTAATATAAAGTATTTTTCCTGCTCGACGGAATTTCACACAAGGAGTGCAATTTCACATGATCGGAATGGAAAAAAAGTGGCAGAACATATACACACACTCGCGTGTATAAGAAAGTGAGTGTACATGAACGTGTGTATATGAACCTGCTCATCTTTCAAGCGCCAACGCCGCACACGAAAAATCGTGCATTTCTCGCGAGTCGAGTCGAGTCTCGCGCCTTGTCGTCGTCGTTCGATGCTGTACAATGAGCGCCACACACAGCTCGCGCGCGTATAATACCGCACCGTAGCGAGACTTTCGCCAGACAATGCAAAATTTGAGATTTGAACGCATCGCGCATATTACGGCGAACGATCCTATCTATCGAGCCGCGCGCATATACACACATTTGTCGGTTCTGTACCGTACGTTATGCTACGTACGGGATATGATGGACTGCGAAGATGGTGATTTCGGAGCTGTGCGCGGCACGAAGAATTTCACTGCGGCGCGTCATTACCACCTTTTTTCGGCGGCGGATACCTTCTCGTATGCGCATTATGAGCCGTAATCACCCCTTGGCATATGCGAGCACACACACATACATAACTTTTATAACTACCGACGCAAAATGATCCTTAATTAAGATAATGTTTTTACGACCGAGGAGCGAGCGGAGATGCATTTTTATGCATCATATCCATGTATGTGTACGCTGTTCGCGCGCGTCGAAAAATGAGATATCATTGCGGGATCGAACGACGCCGATTTTAGTACGTGCAAAGTATAAAATGAATTTTTTATAGCAACTGTTTTTTCTTCTTATCTTGGTCACGGAGCAATGGAGAGTCGCCAAGGCGATATTATATTTGCGAGGATATAATATAAAGCGCGACCCACGCTCGGAGCTTCGTACGTAATCGCTCGACCGATGAATTCGCTCGCGAATGAAAAGTGGCACATTAAACAAATTTTATGCCACTTTTATGCTATTCAGTGTCCCTTTTTCGTACACGACACATCTCTCTATTTCTCCGTGTGTGGCGCACTGCACGTTGAATACGTTAATTTATCTCGAGAAAAGCAAATAGTGCCAAAGCATTATACGCGAGACTGGCACAGAGCTCTACTCAACGTTTTCATTGTGCACACAATGTATACGGGACACAGAGCTTAAACCTTCACTCACGCTCTCCGAGTATATTAAAAGCCTCTCACGACGTCTCGAGATGATCGATGAGCGCGAATGCTCCACGCGAGCACACATATATACCGGTTAAAGCTACCGATTTATCTGCACGTGTTTTTCTCTTTTCGCGCGCACTTCTATGCAGCGCTCGCTATTCTAATTCGCGTACATGCCTCGCGATCCGACAACTTCGGCTACTCTCCGAGTGATCGTCACTTTCGTTTTCCGTCCTCCGCACAAAAGACGCGAATGCCATTGTTAAAGATGGATTCTGTAACTCTTGTACATTTGAACGGTAACCTTCGCTCGCAAATTTCCTTAAATTAATTACAATTACGAAAGTGAAATTATTATTGAGTCATTTTATTCATAAAGTTTCCAAGAAAACCTCCAGAGGATCTTGGCTCCAGTGTAAAATCGTAACTTTGAATGACATTCGTCTTTATGCATCTGACGAAGATTTACAAATAAAATGATTCGTCTACATGAATTATCAATTATTTTTTGTGAAAATTACTAATTATTACGTATTGACATACCTAGCTTAATTAACATACTACTACATATAAATGTAAATTTAAGGTATTTATTGTGAATTAAAAATCAATTTTATCAAGCAGCAGTTTACGAGTTTTTTTATATCAATGACTTCATCTTTCTTGGTGAAGCCGAAAATTGTAAGCCAGAGTGTAAGGAATTTTACTTTGACTACATCCCAAAATAACAACTTTGAATAAAAAATATAGATTTATTTTAATTAAAACAATAATGTAAAAAGTATTATTTTATAACTAAATGTTGGAAAGAGTAAAAGATTTGATATGTTAATAAAATATTTATTGATGGATGTTTATTCCATCTGTATACAAAAAATTCATTAAATAATTATGATACAGGCATGGATTTTGAATCTATTCTCTCTTAAAATACACTTACATCACGTAAAACATAAATCGCCTCGTTATCGCCTCCAAAAATTAACGTTGCTCTATCAATATCAATACTATTCACTGGTTTATGTAACGGTGTGCACAGAGAATTAACATGAATATTTGCTTTATTGTTAATAGAATTTAACCAATGGGTATCTGTTGTATCTAGAATTTAAATGATCAAGATTAATGATACCATAAATGAATATAATTTATAAAATATAGAATATCTTAGGGTAAACTTTACCAAGCTTCAGTTTTGACTGCTGCGTATTATTCCAGTGCCAAACTTCTCCACTGACTGAGCAAGTAAATAAATTTTCTGGTTGATCTTTATGGAAAAGAATTTCACTAACGCTTTTAGAATGAGCACTTAGCTGACTTGTGGGATAAGTATTATATCTTAAATCCCACACAGTGAGACTTCCATCTCCTCCGCCTGCAACCACGATGTGCTTCTGTGTAGGATGATGTGCAATACTTGTTGCTTCTGTCTGTAAATTAAATTTAATTATTATTTTTAATCTGTGTACTTGAATGTTACTCAAAGATATATTTATTACCTTTGATTGTTCAGAAAGCATAATAGTTGTTGCTGGTACATCTTGATCGCTTCTCAGATCCCATACTTTCATGTGACCTCGAATATTTCCAGTTAGAATTTCACTATGTCTCAAAAAGTCAACACAATTTAAAGAACAACTGTCTGCTTCATCTAATAAATTCATGTATATTGGTTAATATATATTTCTCTAATTAAATAGAAAAAGTAAATATTTAATTTACCAATAACTCTAACAGGATTTTGTTGTTGAGCTGTCAAAAGATTTATTCTACCATCTTCTCCAACACTGACAATATCTTGCTCAAAATTTGATAAAGCTGTACATGGAGCTGATTCATTTTTGCTATAATGATAGATATATTTACAAATTGAAATTCAGTTCTAATCTATTTTTGTGGTGATCAATTATCGAGTAACTTTATTTACTTACTTAAATTTGTGAATGGTTTTCCATTCTGTCAATTCTTTCATATTAGGATAAGGATCATCTTCAAGTTTCATTACCTTCACAGAACCATCAGAAGAAGAAAAAACAAATTGATCTTTACAGATGAATTTAATTTCTGTCACATCCCCAACAACTGGACTAGATGATACACATGCAGGATACAATTCCTCTTCTTCATTCTTTTGAAATGTCCAATAACTAACTTTGTTGACCTGTTGAAGAACAACTAAATGATGTAACCTTATTTTTAAAAATTATTTTATACTTTACAAAGTAAAAACGATAATTATCGGGTAAAAAAAAACTAATTTGAGGTTATGTGACTGACATATTTTTATACAAAAACAAGTTTTAAATTTGTTAAAGATACCAATTTATTTAAAACACTTGTTTAAAGAAAAGAATAAGCAATGTAAGGTAAGTTCAAATGACGGTAATATTTACAATAACAATAGATGGACTTACCGGGTCATCCCAAGTGCCGCTGACAAAATATCTAGCGTCTGCAAAATCTTCGTGCTTCCAGCGCAATTTAGATATTTTTTCCGATACGAAAGTACCCTGTACACTGTCTGCCATTCTGTGAGTTGGATATAAAACTTTCTGGATGAGTGATCCTCCGTGAGAAACAAAATTCAAACCCAATGTTGGACTAGCGAGCGCGGGAACGATATTTTCATCGACCAAACAAACACAACACAATTTGCGGCAAGCCAAGCCGGTAATTGCAGCAGTGTGACCAGCACCGAGATCGAGCGCGCCGCCACCTGGAGACAAAAAGTCGCCACTAATCGCCATTCAAAGAAGTTTAAATCGCACAAAAATCGCACACAATATGACGATGAAGAAAGTTATAACAATTTGCAGAAAATAACTTTTTTCATCGTCGTATTGTGTGTGATTTTTGTGCGATTTAAACTTATCAGAGGGAATGTTACTAGAGGAAAAGTGAACAATGATTTATAAGGAATTGAAAAAAAAAGATAAATTAGACCAAGAACTTTATTATTAAAATAAAATTTATAATTATTAATGAGAACAAACATTTTCCAAGGTTGATATCTCGTCGATAATATTGTCCTCGAAAGAAACGAGATCGTCGGTATCATTTTCTCTACCCATTGATACAGTATTGTTATACATGACTTTATAATTAAAATCTTTAATCATTTTATCGGACGGCTTAAACTTATTGCAGCACTCACCGTTTGAATAAAAATTTAATCTTATACGTAGCAAAGAATCTAGAGAAATTAACTCTAATCTATTTTTGGTTTTAGTTTTAATTAAATTCATGATCGAAAATGCCCTTTCCACAACAGCGTTGCTTGAGGGTAAACTCAATAGAGTAAGCATGTGATGAGATAACTCTCTTAATGGAAATGCACCACTGGCGTTTGTTAAATTGTATGTTGCCACCCAAAATTTATTACTATCCGTCAACTCTTCTTCACTCAGTTTAGAACGTAAATCTATTGTCATAAGCTTAGCATATTGAGATTCAACCTTTCCTAATAAACTACGTGGGATCAATTCTTTAACGAATGGCAACTGCATAAAAGCAGGGCGTTCTTTGCTTAAACAAGTTTTTGGTGATATAGCGCTTAGCTTATAATAAAATTCTAGATTCGTTGGCAATCTTGTACATAGCTCTTGGCATAAACTTTTAATGTAATTAAAAACCCGGTATTGGACTTCCTTTCGCATTTCATTGTTGATATTTTTTGTTTGCAATGCTAATTGATATTCAACGCCACAATCAATCTCAGTTGGATGCAGAAAAGCTAAGTCATTATCCATTGCATTTATAATTACATTAATTTTATTTTCAGCTATAAAACTAGGTTTCATTATTTTACTGGCTAAAAATAAAATAAAATTTTTCAAGTCTTCATAAGCTAATCCTAGGTCTACGTTATTTTTTTGAAAACTTATATTTAAATCATTTATTTCTCCTAAAATTGGTGTAACTATTAAGAGGTAAAAATAAGTTCTATAATCTTGTAAAATTACGAGGATCTGTCTAGCAATATGAGATTTGTCCTTTGAATTACAAACTGATATAAAATGAGCTTCAAGCTCATCGTAATTGTGCAATATTACCCTAACTACATTATACCTGGATAGCCAGCGCGTCGCAGCGAGCTTTACAAAGTTATAAAAGTCTTTTTTGTTATCATTGGCATTAGTTTCATTGGCACATNATGAATTACAATACACTACTTTGAAACTTATTACGGTTGAAAATAGTTCACTTTGAAAATAATCAGATTCAAAAACTTTGTCAGATTCTTTAATGACACACGTACGCTGAACGATGTTGCAAAGAAACAAATGAGCCTCTGTCGTCCTTAACTATAGCTGTCTTTCTTTATCATATGTAAGGCGCTAGAGGTTTGTTTGTGTCCCATGACGCGTACTATAGGCCGAACTCAACTCGCTTCCTATGCGCCAACGCGATTGCAGACTTCTCATCGATTTGCGCATGTGTGAGGCGTGAGCTGCGTGATTTGCGCGCGCTCTTCGAGTTGCGAGTTTGCGAACGGCTGACAATTGCTACGGCGACACAGTCGGTTTTGTGCGCGTAAAACATTTTTATTTTTATTTAGATATAATGAGTGTGCATGAGTCAAAAATCGCAAATTTGATCTTTAATGGCTGAAAAATCGCCAGTCGCCATAATAAAAAAAAAATCGCCATGGACGTAAAGAAATCGCCAATTTGGCGATAAATCGCCATACCTGGTCACACTGAATTGCAGTAAACTGGCCGAGTGGCAGGCCGCACTGGCGAAAACGTGCTCGACGAGTTTGCGCGTCACGAGTCCCTTTAAATTCAAAAATCGCGAAACCGAGAACGCAGCGCATATCTCGATATCGTGGATATTTTTAGCCGTAGGGTTTTTCCTTCCAGTGGCTCGCGTGCAGAGCGTCGAGCGATCATGGCCTTTGTATAGTCAAGGGCAACGCACTGGAAACTCCGCACGATCAACGGACTCGAAAACGCGAAGCTATGCAATATCTGCTTTCGACGTGCGTGATTTTTTTGGCAGTGGGTTCGGCGTGTGCGGCAAATATCGAATCCCAACGTCACCGCAGCGTCATCGACGACAATGATAAGGACAATGGTAACAACGGAGGAGACTTTGGTAAGCGAAGTTTACTGATGGAATTTTAATTTTCAAATTGGATGGGCAGTTTAGAAATTTGAAAAATTTAAAGAGCAGAGCATGGGCTCGGTCAAAATAAAATTTACCAACGAGAGCGTAGTCTCCGAGGTGCAGCACACGACGTGCAGCGTCAAAACCGAGGATCTCGTCGCGAAAGCTCAATCGTCGGCGACGAGGATTTTGACTGGCGTCTGCACTGCAGGTATGTAAATCTTCGTGTAATTATTGTGCGCGACGCAATTGAGGCTTGCAGGCGATTCTGGCAGCGAAGAAATAATTTATTTTTCATCAAAGCTCCCGAGTATTTTTTTCTTCTAAGCACGCAGCAGCTTGCCTACTACGTAGATCATACGAGGAAAGAAATAAAGCGGCGCGCCTACGCAAACAGCCCCTCTTATTAATTCATTGAGCTTTTTAGCACGACCCCTTGCTTAGTGCCGCATCGTATCGAAGCCCGAGAGTAGCTGCACACATTATCGTGGACGGCAAATCATAAATTATCCGCTAAAGGCGCTTCAACCTGCACCGCACACGCTCTCGTGCCTTAATGCATTCTGACTCGTTGCGATTTCACGTGTTTGGGCTAAAATTATTAAGTACGAATTAATTTAGATGGATGGACCCTTCCGAGTTGTTTTTGAGGTATATTTTAAGAAAATAAAATGCAGTTGCCATATTTTTGAAGAATTTTTAATTAATTTTTTCTTGCTACGAGATGACTTTCAAGTTATACTTCGTAATTGCATCATAATACTAGCTTCATACTATGCGTGTTTGCGCGATATACTTGTCTTTTTATGAACTATTTTCATGAGTTTACACTTGCTGGGAAAATTGACACGATTAAAATAAAACTTGACTAATTCAAACATTGTAACTTCTTTCAATCGATAAGGTCGCGTTTTAGTTACAACAATATTCGGATTGGAAAATAACTTCTATTTTTTTAATGAAATTACGAATACGATCGATAAAGTTATTTAGTCCATCAACTTCTTCCGTCATACATATTCACAAACATACTCCAAAGGAAAACATTCAATTACGCGAATGGCTCGTTCGTTTTTTTATAGCCACAAAATCTCGGGCTACATAAATTGCCTGCGCTTAAAACTCTCATGGCAAAAACCGATTTGGCACGAAGTATTAATCTATTTATTTTAAATTCACATTCAATTTTCAATTTCCTTTACAGAGGAAATGTCTAAGGGCTTCAATAATTTGGAAAAAGTTTTTTTGGAAAAACTCGATCAGATCCTGCGAAATATCAGTTTATTAATGAAAATAAATGAAGAAATTTCACAGAATGCACCAGAAAGAAATATGAAACCAAGTGTCGTAAAAACCGCCGAACAATGATCAAATGAAGAGTTCAAAATAATATATAACTAAAATAATTAGTTTACCTAAGACGTGTTAGAACATTTTTTCTATAAATGCTATTACGGATAAGATGGTATTTTTAAAATTTTTGTTTGTAAAACACAGAAAAATTTAATAATCAATATAAGGAACTGAATTCACAAATGTAATAATGTAGAGGTTTGCTGCAGTTTAAGTTTATAAATACATCTAATTTAGTTTAATCCATAATGAATTTTCCCTTTTCCAATACTTGTTTATATACTTTTGCCTCCTCATAGAGGAAGCTATGTGAGAGGCTTGAAGGGTGTAGTGTCAGGCAAGGGAATCTTACACGAAATTCTAGAAATCTCTAAGTTTTTTTGGAGTTTCGTATACAAAAATGAAAACGGAATTAAAATTCAAAAATGAAATACTAATTTTCCCTTTAATAACCAAACCTTTTTATTTGTATCATTTTTCTGAGGAATCTCTTTGCCAATATATTGGCAGCGGTTTTCTCTATAATTTTTAATCTTGATTTGGTGCTTATTAAAAAAGTTTCGTTTCCTTTATTATTTCATATTTATTCGCATTGACACACTTGACTATCGTGTTACGTTACACTCTTGATTACTGACGATTCATTAGTTTTAATATCACTATGTAATGAATTACAACGGTTTGTTATACCTTTCAACAAAAGCATGTCCCAAGTTGAGTAATAAATAATTTACTTGATGCAGAACATAAATTTTTCTTATTCGTGTATTAGCATTAGTGTGTCAGGAAAAAAAACAATGACTTAAGTATTTTTATCAATAATGAACTTTACGATAAGCGTAATTATATTTTGTTGTACAAGATCTCCAGTTTCAGCCATGTGCACCTAATTTTTTTAATCATTGAAATTGGAAATGAAAATTGGAAAAATTAAGCTCTAACGAGTTTTGAAAAAAATAACGATGTGAATAGATCAAAAAAATATAAATCTAACTTTTAAATGGATTATATAATTTTTATTACAAAGACATAAAGTCTTGTGAGAATGCATCAAAGAGAATATTTAGATTGGAAGTTACAAAAAAGTACTGAATGACTTTATAAATAACCTCAGAGATCATACAAATTTTAAAGATCTTTAATTGTTGAAAAAGTGTAATGAATTAACTTTGTCAAACTAAAATTATAGTAAGTCAAGGCAGTTATGCGATTACTATATTTATATTTAAAAATATAACATTTAAGAAGGATTAGATTACTCGTATAGAATGAAGGAAAGATTGCGATTCTTCAAGTATAAGAAACGTTAAAATTATTATATTTATTAAATAATTTGCTGACATTAGCATTCTTTTTGTTAGTTTGATACATTTTAATCAATGTTTTCAAAATATTCAAGAAGTCTTAAGTATCATTGGTTTACATTTACTGTGCACATAAAGTTACAGATAGGATTCGATTATAAAAATTTCAATTATTTATTTTTCCAAGAACTTGACTGAAATTTTAATTTAATATTGTAAGTAATATAGGTCAAATTGTACATGTACATGAGTTATGATAAAGGAATAAAAACATTGAAAAAATTCGAAAAATATGATAATAAATATTGAAATTTTCTATTGAATTCACAATATATTCTCATATGGTTTTGATAAAAGTTTAAAATAATTTATTCTATAATTTAATAACTACCATTAAAATGATGTATTCGTACTGCTTATCAGTAATTTACACGAGGTAAGGATGTGGTAGTGGATTGATCAAGACAGGCTGCTGCTGCTCGTACTCCTGTCGCATCCTCAACTCAGCTTCAGATGCGGCTGCAGAGGCTTCGGCTGCCTTCCGGGCAGCAGTTGCGACGCGCAGGGCGTTTTGCAGAACCATCAATGGTGCCTTTTCTCCGTACATAGAGACAAAGTTAGTCCAGCTTGGATCTTGACGTTTTTTGCCACAGCCTTGAAATTCAAAGCGTTAATTCGAGTTTAAATCAATAACACTATACGCAAGAAGATATTATCCATACTCTTTGTTTATATTTTCATGATTTTTTAATAATTAATTATTATGGTATTTAGTTATCTTTTAACTAGAACATGCGTAAAAATCTTACAATCTACTGGCCGCACTGTACAATAAAAAATATTGTACGTAACTGGGGCGATTATCAAACTCCCGCCCTATGGTTATCAATTTTCTAATCCTTGTTCGTGACTTTTTTAAAATATTTTTTAAAGCAACTGTTTCGTGAATTTAGTTAAAAAAAGCATAAGCGATGAAGTTTCTCCTCTATATCAGTTAAACTCAACCATAAATGCAAGAATTAGTTAAACTATTCAAGTTTTCTTTAAAATTAACATTTGTAAGTTGTTCGTTTCAAATCTGGAAAAATTATGAAATTAAGTGCACCATTTTTTATGAGTAACACTTACACTATAAGTCTTACATTACAATCCCTTAATGTTTTACCATTGGGGCCATCGTAGTGAGAGAGCTCGTTTAGTCGGAAACCTACCGTGGCAGGGGGTAGCTGTTATTTTTTATTTAATGATAAAATCTCATGTAAAGCGAATAAGGCAAAATAATACTGTATTGAAATTCTGATAAAAGTAAAAGAAAAAGTTAAATATTATATTCTTGAAATATAGTGAATCTCGACTCATTTTATAGGTTTATTATTGTTTAATTTTTTCTGATTGATAAAAGCCCCTTCATTTCATTAGGCTTCTAACCAAATGATACACTGTTGCACAGTGTAATATTTCACAAAATATCTATATTTACTGTACTATCTACACTAACATATCTACAATATACGAAGTAGTCATTTAACTCCGTTAACAAATTTTAAAGTTTTATTTTTTTTTATCTGTCCACATTTTTCGAAAAAAACTTATTTTTACGCGTGAATATTGTAGAAAATAAAAGCATAATCGATTGCTTATTGATTTTTCACTATATATCTGAATTGTATTTGTCGTGTTCACTTACCGGTGAATGCGTTGCAAAATGGTCTTTTGGCAATTAATCGTCTATCGTTGATTGGAAGCGTTTCCGTCAATAAAACGACGAAAAGTAGCGATAAAACCAATTGCAGTACCTGTAAAAATCAAAAAATTATTTTAAAAAAATTCCAGCTACATTTGATGAGCTGGTATTGAGTTTTCAATAAAAAGTTTTTCAAATAAAAATTGATCCCGGAAAAGTAAACGAGACAAAGGTTTAGATAATAAACCGATGGCCTGTACTCGGAAGATCATAGCTAATTAGCTCTGCGGGTTTAAGCGCTCGACGGAGGCTTGCGAGTGCACATCACGTGCTTGACATATACACACACGTGTCTACACTATTGTGCTATGAACATCACGAGAAGTCACATAATGTAAATGCCTAATTAATACGTACCAGTCGATCGCATAAATGTTAACTACAATGATCAATGCATGTGATTCTCAGCTCTGATCATCCCGTGAAATAATTTGAACGATTTCTGCCTCTGTGTCAACGTAAAAGTTGTATAATGATGACTTTTCATACAAGTGTTAATGAGATTATGATTTTAATAGACCCTTACCAACATTTAATCTACGCGTACGTACTTTCGATTCTTTGAAAATTCGTTTTTTTGTGAGTTTTAAAAATTGTCCTCGTTTGGGTGTTACGGTAATCATCGCACTATTTTTGCGGGACCTCAATTATATTTCATGATTTTCAATTGTTTCAATTTACTGCCTGTGCAACTGTTTCTCGTTTAAAGAATTGAAAAAAGTCTTTTTTATTTTACAGTAGGGCTTTCGATTTCATTTGGAAAATCACTATAGATTATGATGGCATATTAGAATAATTCACTTGCATTTGTGTATACTACTGTTTCAACACTTTTTTGTGTAAATGAGTTGATTTTTTAAGTTCAACGTGGAGCTTCAATCATAATAAATATTTTGTCATTTTTTTCAAAGTACACAGTATACGTGATTTCCGATACTTATAAAAAGAAACTTGTGTCAACAAGAGCAAAATGACTTGGTACATGCTTAATGGTAAAGTAAGAAAGTAGGTAGTACAAGCTATGAAGCGAACGTAAAAATCGATTAATATTTTGCTTTAATGTATTTCATATATAAATTGCGAACTTCTGCGCGTATGTGGATTTTCATCTGAGTTTTTTTTTAGTGTATTTGACCGATAATTTTGATCATATATTCGTCGATCAAAATATCGTTGATTTCTTGTCTGAACGAGATTTCGAATGTATACGCCCATGTTCAAATAAACGATTTTACGGAAATATTGGAATTCCGCGTATTTAAAAGGAAAGTATTACAGCTTCTTTGATTTATTAAAAATATACCATAACTAAATATTTTAAAATAGATTTTAACTGAATAGAAAATATACAAAGCGCACTGTCACAAATCGTCTAATGATAATATAGTTATTTCTGAATTGCAGTAAAATTGTACGTTCCGTTAATTAAATTTATTCATTGGTATTTCAATTTAAATTAATTCGATGACTGAATGAAAGTTTAGAAGCATGCAATTGTAAATGCAATCTATTACTAAGTGTATGAAGTTATCGAGCTCGTTTCTTATACAACTTCATAAAAACTTATTAAAAGAGTAATTTCTTTTTTTGATCGATTGAAAGAGTTGAAGGAACTTATTAAAAAATGTCTGGTTTAACACAATTCTATGAGGTAAGTTTTGATGTGTGCATCATTTAAGTCCTATCGATGTAAACATTTTAAAGAGACGGCGAAGCCAGCCCTAAAATCAAATTTTCAATCGCGTTTTATACAACTTCTACTGCATATCAATCTCAAAAAAGGTTCAAAGTAAACTTCAATTTGATCTTTTATAGGGTAGCATAAAACTCTTTAAAGAAATATTCAGTACAAGTTTTCGAAAACAGGATTTGAAACTTGATTGCTGAGTTAGCTTTGACGTAATCTTGATAATTTAAATTGAACAATAAAATCTAAGATATTCTTCAAATGTAATCATTGATTAATTCGTATAATTTTTAATCTTGATTTGGTGTTTATTGAATAAGTTTCGTTTCCTTTATTATTTCATATTTATTCATAAATCTCGCGCATTGACACACTTGACTATCGTGTTACGTTATACTCTTGATTACTGACGATTCATTAGTTTTAATATCACTATGTAATGAATTACAACGGTTTGTAATACCTTTCAACAAAAGCATATCCCAAGTTGAGTAATAAATAATTTACTTGATGCAGAACATAAATTTTTCTTATTCGTGCGTTTGCATTAGTGTGTCAGGAAACAAATAATGTCTCAAGGGATCAATAATACATAAAGTAATCACGCATATATACAAGCATGTTTATGGATTGTGAAGGACTACGGATATGTTAAGAAAATATGCGAATTTATCTCTACGCTGATCAAAGAGAAAGAGCTTTCGAGAAGCGAGCATATTTTTAAAAAATATTAAAAATGAAAAAAGAAGTTAACAGGGATAAATTTCATATGAGTTTCTGAGAGGAAGGACAGCTGTATATATTAGAAAATAGTATTAATTTGATATGTTAACGTACAGATTGATAACATTTGTCAGGCAGCTTGTTTGAAATAATACAAGAAATCGAATTATAAGTTAATAGTTAATGCGGTATAAATATTAATGCATTATAATTCATAAATGAGTAAGATTAAAGGATATTGCTTTGTTAAAAATGAACATTTCAACATTAAATAAAAAAAAATTTCACTTGTTTAACATAATTTTTACATTGAGATTGAATTAATTTATAATCAAAATTAAACTAGAAAAGGGCGATAGAAAAGTTTTTTTACCTTCATGATGCTTATTCGGCCAAAGTGAATTTAACGGGTGACTTGATATTAATCCAGTTGCAATTGAAATATCTGCTATATTTAATTTAACTACTATTTAACTACTATATTAAAAGATGAAAACGCACAACAGTGGGTGTACTTTTGTTCGGTTCCGTCCCCGGCGTTTCGAATCGTTCACGAGTCGAATCGAAATTGATGAAGATTAAGCTCCGGTCGGACTTGAAATATAGTCACCTCATCGGCTTTGACGCTGCCTCCCAATACACGATGCGTCGAAAGGGATGCGCGTCGCTTCTAGCCGTGACACTGGGGTAGCTGCGACTTTTTTTGTCAGCTGCATCATCATCGAGTGCACGAAGTATTTCTTACACAAATGTATCTTAGAATGAGCAGATTATTTATGTTATAAACATTTTTTACCAAAAACAGATTCGAGATATCGATACATTTTTTAATCGTATGACATACTAATAAAATGTGCGGTTTCGATCAATTTGAAGTGATCATTTATCTATTATATTTTGAAAAGATTGGTGAAAAATCAATAATCTTTCGCCGAAGTGTTGAAAAAGATTGTATTTTTTGAAAAAATGGCCATTACATTTTAGATAAAACAAAATTTTATTTTCAGGAAATCTTGTTAGCGTATGCCGATATTGAATCAATCGCGTATGTATATTCATACCCAACACACCCTCCGGTTCATTGATTGCTCTTGACGGTATTCCCACTTTCAACCTAAAAGATATTAATGAAAGCAACAAGTGACAATTTTAGAACTAACCGCTCAGGTATTCATTAACCCATTCAGATATCGCATTTTGTTTTATCAATTCATTTTGGTTTAAGTGAAATTTTTTTTAAGCTTATCACTTTTTTATTTTTCTTTCCAATTGATATCATTGCATTGTATTTATCTATTTTACAGCATTATGAATTTTCCTTGTTTACAGAGAACTTCTTTGCTACAGACTCGAAAATGGGATTTTAATTAATATTGAGGAGTTTTGATAGGTTTTTTTCGCCAATTCTATGATACTTCCGGATTTAAAAGCAGAAAAAAGCTCTCTGGCACTTTTTTCCTAGAATCTCTCAAGTCTTACTATGTTTTTTTATTATTAATAACAACCTTTAATTTTGGCACTTTTATCATATACTATGTCTTCATTTGAATTTTCTGGCGTTTAGAACGTTAATGAATAAATATTTTTTTTCGATTTTTTGATACCACTTAGTCCTTAAGCTTCAATATTAATGATTTTTTGCAACCATTTGTGACTTGTGTCTTCACTTATAAGTATACGTATAAGTATACTTCAGCTTTGAAATCCTTGAATAATTTGAGATTCTTTACTTTGTCGATCATGTTCTTTCCAAAAAAATCTAAACTTATTTTTTATTAAGGCCTTATTTTATTAGAATTGTTTACACTATTGCATAAAAGTATTTTGCATGTTATGCTCATATAATACTTGGAATAAAATCTATTTTAATTATTGAAAAATTATTTACAAGTGTGAAAGAATCAATAAATCAATCGGAGAGGTGTCATTAAAGAAGCTATATCGTAAGTTGTTGTAACACCAGGGGTCTTATGGGTAACAACATCATGTATGTAATTTCCTGCTGAGGGTATCAATATATTCCTTTCTACAGTGGATACTTTATACATTTTTCGTAGAGCAAAATTTCACGAAACACATTTGTTTTTCATCTATAGAAATTTCCCGAAATAACTCAACTCTTGGTGATTCACACATAAAGATCGCATAAAGTTTTCTGTAGGTATTATAAGGAGTAAAATTGAAACTAGGAGTGGTATATAAAACGTATAAAACTGGAAAAAATTTACCGAAATATTTTTTACTTTAAAATATTTTAGGAATATAATAATGAAAAGTACGGTGTTTTCGGTGTAACTGAAACGACTCATTTTCAGCGAGATGTAATTTATGATTTACTTGTAAACAATCAATCCCATGGTACTCTGCACACTCTTTTGCTGTTTAAATCATTCGAAAAGTTAGGTTCGTATGTTTATTGTATCATATATTAATCCGATCTAGTTATACTTATAGTTTTTAGATGTAATAATTTAATTTCAGCAAACAAAAATATAATTAGGTGGAATCCCACAATTGCTCAATTTAATTTTTCTTATTTTGTTTACCCTCCAAATGAATAATATTAGACTCAACTTTTTATATGATTCTGTTTTTTTTCAGGTTCAACTTACAACATCAACTTTTTATCGCATTATGCATTGCCACCACTCGTGTATGAGGGTCAGCTACACAAGATATTGTTCAGCCGTGATAGTAAGAGTGCTATAGAGATACGACTCATCAGCACGTACTCCATGCCTTCAATGAGAAATTGATCGATATATCTTTATATACCTATATTGTGGCATGTAATAGAACAAAACTAGTACCTGTGAATTTTCGGAAGAACGACAGAATTTGTACGATTCTCATATTGACAGTGCCAACTTATTCGAGGCACGTCAATCCTCGACGAAGCAAATATTCAAAGTAGATATCAAATCTAAACCAATTGCAACCTCTCCGAGCAAGAACCTGAATTTCAATTGCACATTGACCTGCGATTGATCAGCGCTAAGTACTCATGTACATACATCTGCATTCGGATAACATAATCATAACGATATGATTATATGATTGTTTTACTCTTATGTGAAAAAAGTACATAACTTTCGAGTACTTATGATTGACAGCTAAAATATTTATAACAAATTTGAACTTATGAAATCGTTCATTAATATTATCACTGTTATTTTCTCCGTAACAAAAAAATCATATCCGAGTTAAATTGCATACTTATAATACTATTTCATTAAAAAATTATACTGGTAAAAGGATGATATATTTTTAAAAATTGTATTCGACTTTATGAGGAATAAATTATGGAATAAATGTGTAGAATATTGTAGTCAAAAATTTTTTTATTATAAAAACCTTAAGAGTATTATAAAAAGATCGAAAAATGCATCCACTTATATACATAGGCACTTGGTGAAAATTATTTTATACTATAAAAATAATCATGAAAAAATAGCAGTCACTATAAGAACAAAAACTAAATGTTAGATTTCATATTTTTCGACATGGGCATCATTAAAATCTTCAATCCAATTTGTGCGTTTTACAAACAAGGGTAATTGAAAAATTAAGGCTGTTCTTTAACACTACCATCCAACATACCAAAAAATACCTTCTTAGCCATGTTAATAAAGAGACCAGTTTCGATTAATCCAGGGATCAATAAAAGTTGCTGATTCACTGCTGGCCAATCGATATTTTTATCGGGAAATTGCCAATCCAATATAAAGTTTCCATTATCAGTTACTACTGGACCCTATTGAAAAAGAATAATATAGATTCATTATGGTTATGGTACAAGAAGTTATAAAATTTGATTTTTCACATCTTATAGTCGAGTAATCAACATTTTTCCGTTTCGAGTACGCAATTGGACGATCTTTTAAACGAATTTTAAGAATTTTTGAACATCGTCAATACTCCTTTAATACTTTTGATACCGCAGGATATAACACGAATATGTGTTGTTGCCTCTTTTGACATTATGAAAGTTTCGGGAAAATTCGAATACTCGACTCAAAGTAATCGAATTTTTACAGTTCTGAATTGTAAAAATGTAGAAATTGAGTCTTACAGCCTTTTTCATCGCCATTCTTAGTGTCACTGAGCCACCAAAATGATTTTCAATTTTTTTCATCACCGGAACATATGCCATAGGTACTACTTCGATCGGTACTCCTTTTTTGTATTGTTCACCAAGTTTCTTGGAATTTTTGCTAAAATAGATTAATTTGCAATAAGAAACTTTTAAAAATATTTGTATTCGAATTGGTTTACGTGTAATCAGCTACGATGACTAAATTTTTGGCACAAGAAGCTACAATTTTTTCTTGCAACAAACATCCTCCTCCGCCCTTGATGAGATTCAGATCGTTGTCCACTTCATCAGCTCCGTCAATGGCACAGTCGAGCTACGATTTATTTTCTCTTTAATTACATATCATCTTGTGATCATAAAGTCATAATTTTTAATTAAAAACATACCTCAGGATAGATATCCAAATCACCTAATTTTAAATTATGTTCGACGATTAGTTGACGCGCTTGAAATGATGTGGGCACGCAGACTACATCAAGATTCTCATCCTGAACCCGTTTCGCTGAAAAAATCAGTTGTCAATTACAAATTGATTTTCGCCATTCTTCTACATCTTTCGATTTATTTGATGTTTTCTCGATTCGATTAACAGTGTTACAAGATTGGACAAATAATTTGAATATATTCAAATTTACAGAAGTATAGAAATTTATATATAAACAATTCAAAAAATAAAAATGTATTACCTAGCCTATGGACGGCATACACAATAGTGGACCCACTACCAATTCCAATCACAGTGTTATCCTAAAAGAACAAAACATTAGCATTCAAAGAAAAAACTACCTGTTTAGAAATATAAAGCAAAAGAGTACCTTGACGTACTCGTTGACTGCTCGGTAAGCTGCAATTTTTTTCGAAGCTTCGACGGAACTCTGCATCGTGCGACGTAGAAAAAGTTAAGTTACAGCTTGTCGACTGACTAACTAATGCGTACAGGGGTATATACACCGTACGCTGAGTTTAAAATGTTTCTGCTCGGAACTTTGGGAGAGGTAATATTGCGAATCATGAAAAATTTCATAACATTCCCCTCTACTATACGGCTTCGGCAAAAAATGCGAGCCGGTATTTTTTCGTTCGAATGTGGACTTCTGCTATTCTACGGTCGGTGCATGCATTGCCGGCGAACGCTCGTATCATTGTCAGCAATCGTCATGACATATATCTTTGGCTACAGCGACTGAATTATCATAATGCACACAGCACATGTCGAAGTTCGAGCTATGGGGGACATCTGCCGGAACAGTAAAGAGTACGAAATTGTGGAATAGCTCGCGCTCCCTTTTTCATTATTTATAAAATCATTGACAAAGAACGACAGCTTTGAAAAAAATACTCAATCAATACGTCGAGAGATGAGCAAACAAAATTTTCGGAGCAATCGTGGATGTGGATTTCATCATCTATACCTATATCGCTGCATCGGACGAGTTTCGAAGCACGTCGCTCCGCGCGCGGTTCGCGTGGCTCTCCACTCCACTGCTTCAACGTCAGGTTCGCGACTGATCGCAGATCGAGAGCTGCTCAAAGTATTGCTTATCCTATGACTGGATTCATTGCGCAGCCTGTTTGCAGACGAGCGACTAACTTAGCCACATTACATCGTGACAACATGACGTCCTTTGCTATGCCGGTTGCGGCGAAAATTTGCCGAATCACAGCTGAAAATTTTTACTCTTTTGGAAGACAATTGGTGTATAGGTAATATTTCACCGTTTTGGAAAATTATAACATATATCATTGTCTTATGTTCCAGTAGAGCTTAGCTTATTACCCGATTTTCATCATTTTAGGTTAAGTGTTATCTAATATTGCTTTATCGCAAAATAAATTTTGATATTTTCTTTGAATTTCCTACAAGTTTATTTGTCTCTTACAAGAAATAATTTTTTTTGTTCTTTTAACAGTTTTTGAATTTTAATATTATTATATCTTCTCAGACCTGAATTTCAAGGAAATGAAATATATATTCACTCATTAATTTCATAGTTTACTTTTCTTTTATTGACAACAAATTATCAAATTATCAATGATTTAATTCAATGTGCATTCAATGAGTATTTTTGCTTAACAACGTATTATATTTAATTTACTTTCTGAATCTTTATCAGTTGCATGTCATTATGTAAAAACTTCTATATTGCAGACAAACCACAAGATGTTCTCCTAGCTTCTTTTCCCAAGAAAAGAACTTCAGCACCTCTGCAGAAGAAAAAAGTGAGAATACTCCAGAACAAACTGTTGTCTCAGAAAACGAAAAAAAGTTAAAAGCAGAAATTGAACAGTTGAGCAAGGATGTTGCTGCACTTAAAGAAAAAAATGATGAACTCAATGATAAATATAAAAGAGCTTTGGCTGATGGTGAAAATTTGAGAGTGAGACTAACGAAACAAATTGGTGATGCTAAACTATTTGGTATCCAAGGATTTTGTAAAGATCTACTGGATGTGGCCGACATTTTGGGTAAAGCAACTGAAAGTGTTCCCAAAAATGAAATCACAGAAAAAAATCCACATCTCAAGAGTCTGTATGAAGGTTTAATCATGACAGAAGCACAATTACACAAGGTATTCAAAAAACATGGATTGGAATCTCTTAATCCTTTGGACGAAAAGTTTGATCCTAATCAACATGAAGCTCTGTTTCAACAGGTATTTAAACCTTTGTTTTCTAATTATTGAATTTATTGTGAACTTTTTATTCATTGTATATTTTTTTATTTTTTAAATAGGAGGTTGAAGGTAAAAAACCTGGAACTGTGGTAGTTGTATCTAAAATTGGTTACAAACTACACGAAAGAATAGTAAGACCTGCACTTGTTGGTGTTGCTAAAGGATAAAGCAGAGTGATTGTTATTTACCTCAAACTTAGGTTATATTTTATAAAATTAGGCTTGTTGTTATTGTGTAAATGAATGAAAGTTTATTTATCACTGATAAAAGACAGGCAGAAAATGAATTGTGGGAAATATGTATTTATGTTAAAATACATATGATAGTATGAAGTGATGTATGTTTTTGGCAGAAATGCTATTGAGTGATGTAAAATTACAAAAAATTTATTTGTTACTGAATTTTTAAAACCAAATCAATTTGAAGTGTAAAAAATTACTAATGACAAAATAAATAGAAAATTGATTTAAAAAAAAAGTCAAAATTCACTTGTAGTTTTTTTTATTACACAAAAAAATGAATCTGATAAATTAGAGTTAACATTTTTGAAATAAACTATGTTAACAACGTTCAAATATTCTATATAAATCTGGTAATGTGGTAACTTCATAAATGGTTCCATTTTCGGCGAAAAATTTTGGTGGAAGCAAACTGTCTTTTATAGCAGCATACAGAATATGTTCAACTTTATGTTTCCAGTTTGATTCGCTTGTATCTATCTGGCTGTAGTACTGAGCTGTTTCGCGACATATATCTCGAAAACATGCTTTTTCTTTGCTCCAATTTACCTCAGTTGCAAGTCTGAGTAAATACATTGGAAGACCCCCTTGATTGGGAAAATGGTTTTCTAAAAAAGATGTGAATAATTTAAAATCCTAAAAACATTTATAATGCATTTGTATATTATCACATTATTACTTACCCAATAATATTGGGAGACCTCTGATTTGTCCTTTTTTATCAATATTTATGGAAAAATATTGTCGTAACATGTCAGCTTTTTCTAAAAGTAATTCTTGAACGCGTTCAGCTAATACTGTCTTTTCTCCAATTTCTTCGCTCCATCCAGCATCTTCATGTTCAAGGCCAAGCATCGCAACATCTTTTATTAATAAAGGTTCCTGATTAACAGAATATTATTTTCATTAATTTTTCCCATTTTTATACACAATCAAAAAGAAAAATGCTATACTTAACTGAAAATTTTAACACCCCAAAGTTTGCAAAGTCATACAGCATGATTTCATAGAATAATTCTTCCCTGGAGCAAAATTAAATTTTATTATCTTACATTACCTACTATTATTATAAAAACTGTGACTTACACAAGCCTTTTTGTATCACAAAAATACAGACCAACACCACTTTGTATTAGGGCTGAAGTTTCATTAATACATCCTACAAATACTAATTTTGATAGTAATTTTCTCAAAGTTGGATTGTACATCTGTTCAACTTTTTGGCGCAGTTCTAAAATACTTAATAATTTTGTTTCAACTCTGAATTGATTAACAGAATAAGATTTGAATTCTCCCGGAGATTCAAATGATTCATCATTTTCCTGAGATTGTGATTTGTTTTCAACAGTTTTAGATTCCTTATTCGCTTCTTTTGTACTTTTTATATTTTCTTCAGGTGAATCAGAATTGTCAATTTCATTTTGAACATTCTCTTTTATCACTTTAGGGACTTCATTTTCATTGTCAATTATGAGTTTTTTCATGGATTCTTCTTTAATTTCTGTTTCTTTTGCAAATTTATCAGGTTTCTTTGCAGCCTCAGATATCTTGTCTATATTATCTACCTTTAGAGAGTTTTTAACAAAATTACTATTGAGAGCAGCTTTGTTTAGTTTTTCATTATCTTTGTCTATTAATATTGTTTTTTGTTCAGCAATTTTGACTGTAGTATCACTTTCATCTTTATCTAAAATTAGCTCTTTTTCCTTTAATTTTTCAACTGGTTCTTCTTCTTCAAGTTTCCTTTTCTTGGCCCTAGTTTCTTCAAAACTATCATTGTTAGAATTTGAAGTAAAATTAAATTTTTCAAGTTTTTGTGAATTGTGGTCAACTCTAACAAAATTTTTTGGGTACAGTTTTTTAGTATCACCTTGTGATGGTGGTAAAATTTCTTTTTCCACTTTTTCTAAGTCTAACTTTCTTTTTTTGGGCTCAGGATCAATATAAAATGTTCTTGTTTTATTACTTTTAGCATATTCTTCATTAAGAACAGTACTTATTTTACCAATTATAATACCTTCATGTAAAAATTTTACTTCATGTTTTGTTGGATGTATATTAACATCTATATTTTGTGGATCAATTTGCAATGACAGATAACACCATGGGTGACTATTTTTTGCTAAATGTGTAACATAAACACTTTCAAAAGCTTTTTTGATTGCTAAAAAAATTCAAACATATATTTCATTAATATTTTTACTTAGAACTCCTTTGTTTGATAATCAGTTCTTTTAACTTACCAGTAGATTCAACTAAGCGATTGTTGATAAATAATAAAAATGTAAATCTCTTCATGGCATAGTTAGGACTAGTTATTATAATTTCTGCTTTGAAGCGATAAGATCTTTCTTCTACATTAATTTCCATGAGATCTCTAGCTACATCATTGCCAAATATGATTTTGATATTTTCTTTTTTTGTACTTGAATTAGGAGTTCTAACTGTAGCTCTATTTTCACCATGTTTCTTTAAAGTGAATCCAGTTTTTGGATAATGAATAGCATATCTAGAGACAACTTCTTGAATTCTGGAATATTCTTCTTTACTGTCTGACAAAGCTTTTCTTCGGGTAGCAATATTATAAAACAAATTTTCAACTGTTATTGTTGTACCTTGATTTCCAGCACAAGGAACTGGTGGCCCCTTTATCACACCATCAATGTAACCTGCTCTATAGTCAAGAAAATTTGTCATTTTGTTATTTTTATAAAAATACATTTGAAACTTACTTATAAGCACACTTTTCTTTAGCAGTTTTAGTGGTAATAGTTAATTGGGCAACATGACTAATACTGGCCAAAGCTTCACCCCGAAATCCAAAAGTTGTAAGCTTTTGCAAATCGTCAAAACTTTGTAATTTGCTAGTTGTGAATCGCTCACACACAATATCCATGTCTTCTTTATTTATTCCACTTCCATTGTCTTGTATCTAGAAAAATAAGACCACATATTGGAAATTCAGTTGATGTATGAGATAAACTGAAAAATAACAATAGAAACCTGCAAAAGTTTAAGGCCTCCTTCTTTTACTGAAACGGTAATGTTTGTTGACCCTGCATCCAGACTGAAAAATTGCAATATTTTGATTAAAAATGCTTGATTTGATACAGGATAAATTAGCAATAATTACAACTTACCTGTTTTCTATGAGTTCTTTTAGAGCATTAGCTGGTCTTTGAATGATTTCACCAGCAGCTATCCGATTGACGACTACCTCGTCGAGCTTACGTATTTTTCCAGGATTGGACATTTTTCCACTTGGAAAATAAAAAATTAAAACCAGAAAATGAAGTAATAAGACATAAATATTTTATCTGAGTGTTAAAAACCCTCGTCGTAGGTTATACAATTTGGCGCGGTGAGTAATTTAAATTTCAATGAAACTGTAGCAGCCGCAAATCGCAATCGGTGTCTGCTAAGGCCGCTAAGGATTATAGTGTCACTTATAGATCCTTTTGCTGTAAGTATTATATATATAGGTATATAGGCGCATAAACCTACGTGTTTCCTGCAGGATAGCTATAAGGTAGGCTCGTTTCACGCAGTCTTGCAAGCTCATCGTTTTTGTGCAGAAAAATAGTTATAGTTACTTAATACTACTAGAACTACATAGACAATAAGTGGCTAAAGGTGCTTTAAAAACAAGCGATGTAATTCTTATGTGATCATTCCAGGAATTTGTAAAGTTTTACATTAAAATTACGCGGCTAATTCATTTTTTACGAACCCACTTGACGACATCAAAGATCAATATTTAGAATAATTTTACTACCATCTCATATATGGTCTCTGGATAAGTTAAAGTTATCTTTAAAATGAATTAATAATTATGCTGAAAAATGATCGAAGAATAGCTCTAGATGATAAATGATTGTCTTTCGATTCCTCGCCGCAAGCGATCCATCATCATTATGAAATCGACGCATAATTTGGTTCTATGTATAGTTATTCATCATAAAGATTTTGTAACATTTAAAAAATTGCTAGCAACGAAGCCCATAGTTACATTTTGTTCCATTTGGTAGAAAAATGTAAACACCCAATGGCCAAGCGGACGTTGCCAAGGCGACGATTTTGGACAGAAATTCACAAACATTTCAACTTGAACGTCCAGCGTGAATTGTATCATGGCCGAGTTGCATGTGATAGGAACAATTACATCAGCAAGGAACTTCAAACAGAGTCGATTGTTTTGCAAATGGAACTTTTCAACCGGTAAATACAGCAACATCGATATTACACCCTGTCGTTACATCATTTTGATACAAATTTGTGTCAAGTTAGTTTTTGAGTTTATAGGCACTTTTTTCGCGACAGAGTTAACCGTGTAATGAACTTTTTTCTTCTCAATTTTTCGTTTCACGAGGCAACGGATGGAAATTAATCAACGGCAATAACGAAGGACAATCTCAGGAGTGTTGCGATTTATTCAGTCACGAGCCAGTGTGGGATCATCCGGTAGACTTACATTTTGCCACACAAACTCTGCAGGGCTCGCCAAAACTGTTGCTGCAAACATTCTGCCGAGACGAATTCAATCGAATTTTATTTCTGTCGTACGGTACATGCAGTGTTCCATTGAAACCGGGATTCCATTCGATCGAGTGTCACACTTGGAAACCAATTGGTACTTTATTTCCATTCTTTACCATTTTTAACTTTAAAAATTTTAATGTTTTCCTTTTATAATTAGGTGATTGGCAAGACAGATTGAAAGATAAATTTTTAGGAACAACGTTGCAACTTAAATCTCCAGATGTTTTAGTAAATGCTGACGATCGATTCGAACTTTTAACGGAGAGCATGGGCACTGTTCAAATCGATCTTTATATAATTTGCCGAAACTTTGATAAATTCGGTTGTCATTTATGACCAATGAATTAAGAAAATCCAAGAAAAACGAAGAATTAATTCTACTCACTTGTCATTAGCAATGAAGCATTTAATAATCTTTTTTAACATCGTATTACTACTGTCACCTGCCTATGGAATAGACGAAGTAGAGGATTTTATTGAAAATTGTGTAAATAGCTCATCATGCGAAAATTTCACCTCCACGGTAGCTCCAGAAAATCGTGACGATACGGAAGATGATGAAATAAACATTAAAGAATTAGCCACTAATCTGTTCAAACCTAAAGAAAATGTTAAAACTACTACTCAGAAAACGATTCAGAAAAATACCGATAAAGATTCGGATAAAAAAAACGATAAAGATCCTTTTCAAGATGAAAGGGTTCTGAAAGACTCTTCGAATAATAAATATTGCAGTTGTGATATAACAGTAAGAAGCGATAGAGGAAGCAAAATTCTTTTCGATAAACATAATACTTAATGTGTTCATTATTTCATTACAGATCAACGTTTGCGACGTAAATTGTTGCTGCGATCCAGATTGTACAGAAAAAGATTGGAAAGTTTTTTCTCACTGTATTGAAGATGATACCAATAAAGAAAGAGACAAATGGTATTGCAGTGAAAAACCTTTTTTTCGTCACAACGAGACGAGATTCCTGCTTGAAAAAGTAGTCGACAGTTTATTTTGCATAGCCTCCGACAATCTTCCGCCTACATACAGTGCGACTAGTCATTTGGTAAATAAATTCTATTTTGATCGATTAATATTGTAATTCTATGATCGAATTATTGTACTTTAAATTTCATTTCAGCGAATTGAAAACGAAGAATCATTAAAAAATGTCATAAAAAGTAATAAACCATCAAAGTTTAAATGGCTATTGGATAAAAAAAAGCCGATTCAGGAGCTCAATATAACAAATTCTTACAAATATGGCGATATTTTATGGAAAATTAACAAGAGCTCTCTGCAACCGCTTGGTTAGTTATTGTGATTATTTATAACATCAATAAAATTATTTAAAAAGTGTCGAAATTTCATATTTTAGAATTACCACAACCTGGGTTTGGACAGTCGTGCAATTTTAAAAAAACCATTAAATATCTTGAGGACTGGGAAAGTACCTGCCAACAAACCAATTTAAATAACAAAAACTACTTTTTGTTTCCAATATACTACAGTAATATAACATGTGCCACTTTACCATCGAAATTCAATGCAAAGTATTCTTTGCAGGATTGCCCAAAAGATGTTTGCATTACAGCTAATATTTCTGTTTGTTTTAACTCATGGGCAGTATGTAAGAATAAAACAGTACAAGGATTTTGTACCGAAAATATTTGTTACAATGTAGTGAAGTTCGTCAGATTTACCATTTATCATAATGGAGTTGATGGGTTAAAAAGTATTCATATACAATTATTGTTGAAAAATGTTACAACATCTTTTAAGCAGATAATCGAAGTAAAATATAAATGGGAAAATTTAAATAACGATTTAGTCTTTGAAAGAAGTGGAAATCCTGGTTACATATCTGGAAAACCAATTCTAATTGGAACTCAGATATCCAATAAAACAAGTGACACTCAAATTGATTATGTAGGGTTCAATAAGACCTATAAACATTTAACTTTACCAATAGCAGATAAAACTGGAGTGTGCAGTAGTACAGAAAGATACATTGTTAAATTTTTGGAGGATGTAAAATTGAAGTGTTCAATCAATGTGAAAACAAATAATTTTTCAACGGCAGCTTGCATCAAGCTACAAAATCTTACTTTTGATGCTATCATTGGGTTCATGAGTCATAAAAATTTTGATAAACTTAATTTTGACAAACAATTAGTATCAAAATCTGGAAATATCACGGACAACAGTACGGAAAGTTGGACAAAAATGTTTTTTGAAAAAATTCCTCAGAATGTTATAACTGCTCAAATGATAGATAATGAAATTCAATGTTCTGGATTGGTGACTTCTGTTATGTTTGATATTGTGCATTCACTAATTTCAAAACCAGGTACAAATAGAAATCATGTAATATTAGGCGTTGGAGTAAAATTTTCTCAAGAAGTTGACTTGAAGTGGGCAAAATGTAATGGCAAAAATTGTATTGACACACTTCAGTTAGATCTTATAAGCTTCATATCATTTCATGACTTATCAAAACCTGCTAGGTATCATATAGCTGGGGGACCAAATTTAGATATAAGTTTGCCATATGATTTCTTTTATCCATTCTTAAGTCATTCAAAATCAATGTCAACAAAGCTAGAATCAAACATTTTTCTCTTTATAATTTTTCTTTTGTGTCATTTAATGTTTTCATAAGTATCACAGGTGGGAGCATGAGAATTGACTTTTAAAAATACTTTTTTAATCAGATAAGTGTAATAATTAATTGTATGTATAACGTATTAATTTCAAATAAGACAATAGTGACCTCTATAAGCTTTGGTACAACAATTTAATTTATTCAAATAAAAACATAACATTTTATAAAATAATCACTTTCTTCATTGCATATTTGTAAAATAACAAACTGGTGGATGATTCACTATTTGATATTTAGAAAAGCAATTAAAATGTTAGTGAGCTATTTATTTACAAACTTTAAGGCATGACTATGGACTTTTCCTAATGACTAATCAGGGCTTGTTTAATTTGACAAGACGTATTAGTATAAATATGAAATTAATTGTAAATGTACTATTATTGTGTACAGTAAAAAAAACAAGCAAGATTATGCATCTTTTACACAAAACACAGTGAACAACGAGGGAATGCCAAAGATGACATGAAATATCAAAACATAGTCACGAATCAAATTGAGGATCCAGCCTCTGGGCAAAGATTTTGATCTTTTGTACAGTACAAATTACTTGAATAATTTGAATGGCTAAGTTCTTTTTCCTGTAACAAAGATGCCAAAGTTATGGTTACCAATATTATCTTTGATTTTTATTTCTCGTTGACTTTGGCTACTTTGATTTAACCTTTTTTAGCCATCGCTATTCCCAAGCCTAATACACTTGCAATTCCAACAATTACTCCTCCAGCTATTGCCATACCTTTGAGTCCCTCTAAAAAAAATAAAAAAAAATGAGATTGTTAGTTAGTTTTAATTTAGCAAAGAAAGATAAAACAATCAATGGATAAAATATGAAAGTACCTCTTTCCATTTTTTTCTTTATTAAAAGTTCTAATCTTTGTACTTGTTCATTACTTGGCTCAAGTTGTAGAAAAGCTTTGACGTACTTCATAGCTTCTGGGTATTTCTAAAAAAAGATTTGTTTTTTTGATACGAGCTCTAAGTATAATAAAAAAACAATTCAATAATATTTACCTTAATCCTGGCATTACCAATGGCAAGATAATACAAGCAATCTCTTTTTTCTGTTTCTCCAGTTTTGTTAAAAAGATCTTCCAACAGCATTATTCCTTTTCTGATATCAACAGGATATTTACTTCGGACCAAACACCATGCGTACTGAAATTGAATATTTGTGTCTACTGCTTCTCCTTGCAGTTGCTTATTGTACATAATCTCGAATTTCTGCAAAAAAGGTACAAACTTTTAGTTAAATGAAATATTTTTAGTGAATTAAAAAAAAAAAATGAAACAGGTATGTAGAACAGGTGAAATAATTGAAGATTTTGAAGTCATAAAAATTGTGAATGAATCTATGTAACGACGGAATATGTCATGCAGCTGCAACAATTTTCAAACGTGACTCATGTGTTCTACTAAAATAGAGCATTAGTAATCTTTATATAAAAAAATATTAATACTTTAAACGCGATGTAAGCAAGTATTTCATGGATTTAATACCGAAAGGGAATGGTCAGAAATTCAATGCTAATCGATTCTCGACCATTAATTAAAATAATCGTCATGCATGATCAATTGAACAAGTCAACGTGACGATGTCTGTTGTTTATCTAAAATAACCTAATGAAAACAATGACAATAGCTTCCATGAGTCGGTTACAAGATGAAAACATGAGCATTAATCGCCGAGATGAAGTGAAAAACGCGAATTGATCCATGTTATTCCATGAACATGGAACAGAGAGTCCAGCCATGCTGTGCAAAAATTCCTTCCGCTTCTTGCGTAATCTCTTACTTTCAAATCCTCGGTTGAGACAATTTCGTCCAGAACGTCCTCCATCTTGGTCGTGTATGTATATACTGAGGAGTGCAGACAACGGAGTGAAGTGACGTTGCTCCCGCTTTAATAGGTATATGTTTCTCGTAAATCGAGACGTCGAGAGTTTGCTCAACTCTCTGCACTCGCTATATATGTATATACCGTAGACGATATAGGTATATCAGCTGCAAGTCTTCAATGAGCAGCAGCAGCAGCAGCAGTAGACCAGTTGCTACGAGTAGACTCCGATGCGATCATCAGTGCATGTAGCTCTCACGGCACACGTACGGTGCGCTGCGCTCGCTTCTGGCAAAAAGAACGTCATTTTTTCCACCTTACAGCACTCTGCACTGCACGCCTTTCTCCCCTCTCTGTTGACTCGGCTCACCCACGCAAGCACGGCGCACTTACACAGACGAGCACAAGCTCGACGGCGCATCACGATTCACGGCGTATATCCGTCCGAGGGTTGGCCAGTGCGCACAGTTGCATACACAAGCTAGCTGTCCCCCCATCACGACGACCCGACTATATACCTACGAGTATATAAGCGCGTGCGTGTGTTTTTATCATTATCTCCCACTCCTGTGGAGCTTTCGCGGAAATCGCAACGTATCGCGCTTCGGCGCGGGTAATTTTTACTTTCAAACTCGGCAGCTTGCGTTTCGCGGGTAATTTTCGTGCGCGACTCTCGAGCCCGTCTCTCGCTTGATTGTGTCATTCTGCCTGTATCGGAATATCCTCGAGACCACTCGACATTTTCCTTTGGAGTTGCTTATAATCCATACACATAGAGGACGGGTGTACAGATATACCTATAGAGATATACATCGGAACCAGAGCGAAGGGTGGAATCGTAACAAACAGGGGAGGTCGATTTGCGACGACGCATTAGCCCTCGCTGCTGCTGCTGCTGCTGCTTGCTGCAAAAGGGGGACGACGCGCCCCGCAAATGCTATATGCGTGCTACTGCTGCTGGTGAGAATAACTATGTTGTATTCCCTGCGTGCGTCGACGGGCATTGCGCGTTCTAGTACGTGCGCTTGTGGTAGTGGCCCGTGCGTGTGCCAGTGAGTGTACGCTGCTGCTACTACTTGCTGATTTTTCGCACAGAGAGGTAGGAGAGAGTTATATATAAAGGCCGCGGAAGAAGCAGAAGAGCGGGGGAAGAAAACAGGTGGTCGCGGCGCGTGCTCTTTCCCTCGTTTGAAAACTTTTTCACGTGCTTTGCTGCGTAAGCTTGGCCGTCTCTCGAGCTGACTTTTGGCCCTGCCCGAATCCGGCCTCAAACAAAATGATGGAAACCAAGACTCAGGTGAAGGTCGAGCCTCAGGAGACGACGACTACCAACAACGCCACCGACGCCGAGGCTCAAAGTAGGTTAAAATCCAAACCTGCCCATTTAATTATTTATCTTGCTTCTTTTGTCGATGCTGCGCTTGCACTTGTGCACGTTCAACAGAGCTTGTCATCGCTCGAGTCTATTGCATTCGATCGATGCTTTTCTGCTTGGCGAGCGGTATCTATAGCTTGATTATTGATTGACAGATTTCAGATGCGTCCTCGATGTTCGATGTTTTCTTAGACTACTCAAAATCAATTTTTTTTTCTCTTTTCTGTTTTCATAATTCCGTTCTATTTTTCCATTTTCACAGAGAGAGAAAATAACAATAGTCCAGAAGGAAGTCCACCAGCCAAAAAAGAATGTCTGGCAAAAAATAAGTCCCCTTCGAATCCGCCTGCATCAGAGACCACAATATTGCAACCACCGCCTCCACCTCCCCCAGCTCAAATCAATATATTCTTTGAACTATTTTATGATGGACCTTATGATTTGACATTGTCTAATCGCTCTTGGGGTATACACAGAGTGCCACCTCCTAATCGAGCTATTGTATTATCTGAAATAACATTTGCCTTATTCAATGTGGCAATATCACCATCTTATAAAAAGCAGGTAAAAATGCTTACATTAATATTGACTAATCAATTACAAATTTAATGAGATATTATAATTTTTTATAACTTCACAAATTATAGGTCATACTTACGGATCACTTGAAATTTAAAGCTTTTGTATTGGACAAGCTTGTAGTTGAAAAAACTTTAGATGGTGAAAATACACAAGAAGATTTTGAGCAGTCTTTTGCAGAAATAGTAAATATGGTTGTATGCAAAGGAGGTCCTATTATAGAAGACAATCAAGATGTTCTTTCAAGATGTGCTTTTAAAGATTTTTATAGCAATCGATGGAGACATAAGTCATGCACAATAATAATTGAAAGAGGTGAAGAAGTTTGCAGACCATGCTCGTACCTTGATAAATATTTTCAAGAATGGATGAAGTACAATTCAAAAGAAATTATAATAAGCAACTAAAAGAGGTAAATTAGGTGCTTCAGTTTTTTGTGTGAATTAAACTTGTATAAAAAATCTAGTCAGACACACTATTGATACAATACTTAAGAGCAGTCCGCTATTCATAATATTTTTTATACACAAAAAATATGTATTGTATTATAATTTTAATCACAACTGATTCCAAGGAATTACAATTAAATTATTTTGCAAAAAGAATTGATAAAAGTATTATATAGATATAAATAGACTCATATAAAAATATATGCTATACTAATTTAGATTTAAGCTTGTTTTAGTAATCATGTGTGAAACAATTTAGTGTCGTGTGATTTCTCTAGTATTCAATGATTAGCTAAGCAATATTTATCACAATGTGTACGTGTTAAACCACAAATCACACAACCAGTAATCTTATGTCCACCTTAATTAAAGTCTACACTTGTGTACTCACTGTATCAAGCTTCAGACAAGAAGTCATTCAAATGTTTTATCAATGAATAAAGTGGCAGTCCGACAACTGTATAATAGTCTCCATTTATTTTTTCAACTAAACATCCACCAGTACCTTGAATTCCATATCCTCCAGCCTTATCGCTTAACAATAATAAAATAGTTAAGCATTTATTGATCAAATGTTTGCTTTTATTTTATCAAAAACTTACGTATATTCTCCAGTTTCAATGTAAGCATGTATTTGTTCAGTTGTGATATTTCCAAATGTTACTTCAGTGGATTCCCAAAACTTTATTTCTTTTTCCACGGTTTTGATAAAAACTCCAGTATATACAGTATGAGTTGATCCTGAAAGACTAAAATATTGATTCATTTATTTATTTACTTTAATTAAAATTATTCAAATTATGAATCATGAGTACAATTTTAGCCAGTTACGTACTCTGATAACATATCAAATGCATCTTCTTTATTTTTGGGCTTGCCATACAGTTTTTCACCTTTGGTTACAATGGTGTCAGCTCCAATGCAAAGAATGCTGCTTTTCAGTTCTTCCGCAGATAATTTGTCGAAGATGTCATTAACTTTATGTGCAGCAAGATCAGTTACAAAGTCCCCATAATTGTTATAATCACTTCTATTTAGATTTTCATCAAATGAAGACGGTTTAACATCGACAACAAAGCCCTTTAAAATAGAAATATATAGAAAATGTTGTTTACTTTTTTCTCTTATAATAATTGTTTAAATGAACGTTAGGAGATTTACCAAACTCTGAATGATCTCTCGTCTTCGGGGTGAACCACTCGCCAAAATTATCTTCATATTTAAAAGACATTTTGCAGTAGACTTTAACATTTTTTGAATCGAATAAATGAAATAAAAAATATAATAAAGCAAATACAAAATATGACAAATAGCAGACGTCACTCGATCCTCGACATTAAAGATTGATATTAAAATAGGTTAAGAAAAATCACCCCCACGTGAGAACGCGCGATTTTTTGCGCAGATTAGCTGACAGTGAATTCATAATCATTGAGAATTTTAATTTTCAGCTCGCATATAGTTTCATGCTCAGAATTTGATTCCAGTATTCACTTATGTTTATTTGAAAAACTATTTAATCATGTAATATTGTAATTTAAAAATAATAATTTTTACTCTTGTATTAACGAGTTCCTTGATCATTCGACTTATCATATCAGAATTAATAAATTACGTTAAAGTAGTTTTTACAAACGCAAAATCGAAATTGGATGGAAATAACTTAACAACATTTTTAGAGAAATATTGTTTAGAAATAAGATAAATCAGTTTTTAGATTCTAACAAAAATGGGCTCATTTTTATTGATAAAAAAAAATGTGACGGAAACCGAGGACAAGACAAGGCACAGACACGATGACTATCGCGTTTTTTGACGTTACAAAGTAAATGTGGAAAATTTTGTTAGCGCATCGGCGATCAATTTTTGCTTTGATCCGGCTTTGGCGTTCGTTTGCTATGTGACTTGGGCAGCAGCACGACTTGAATTTTGGGCAGGACTCCGCCCTCAGTCAGGGTGACGCTCGACAGCAGCTTGCTTAGCTCCTCGTCGTTCTGTATGGCCAGGGCCAAGTGCCTCGGGACGATCCTGGACTTTTTGTTGTCGCGCGCCGCGTTGCCGGCCAGTTCGAGCAGCTCCGCCGACAGGTACTCGAGGACCGCGGCCATGTAGACGGCGCCGCCCTTGCCTATGTTCTTGCAGTAGCGGCCCTTGCGCAGCAGCCGATGTATACGGCCAACGGGAAAGTTCAGGTCGACCCGCGACGACGTCGACGATCTGCCGCCCTTCGACCTGACTTCGTTTCTTATTTCTTTTCCTCTTCCGCTCATTTTGCTCTCTTTACTTTAAATTTATATTTATCAATCCGCGATTAATTGATAGTTTAAGACTTTTTTATTAACTTTTTTAAACCCACATTGACAATCGGTCAAATTATCTTGCTCAATGATTTTGAAAAATTGTCTAACCTAGTATTTCAAACCGTTTTCTGCTCAAACCAATGACATTTAGTTATGCTCGATTGTTTTGTTTTAAATATGGTTTTTAACAGTTTTATGAAGAATGTCGAGCTCGGTTAATCAAGCAAATAAATCTATTCTTGTTTATGAGATAGCTTTTACTCAAAAATTTCCATGAACACTTTCAATAATAATAAACTTTACTTTATTGTGAGAGCTCTAATTTTTTATCATTTTTTTTTCATATTTTTTACAATGAAATTTAAGTATATTTTTAATTAATTGTGTTAAATTTTAAAGTATTTCAAAATTATTTGAGTTACACGTATAAATCACCAGTTGATTTATTCGAAAATACCTCCTTTCAGAAGTTTAAAATAATCTCCTCTTACAGGCATCTCCAATAGATATCGTTCCATCAGGTAAGATGGCCGCCGATACTAACTGCTTTATTTGTCAACTTCAGATTCCATAGAGTTTTCTAGATAAAATCCACACAAACAAGTTATGATACAAGCTCAATTTAGCGTTCAAACATAGTAGATTCGATATTCAACGACGAAATTTTGACTACTTGCTTGCTATTCATTGTTATGAGACATTAGCCGTGGATAAATCTCGAATAATACATGTGCTAATATCATCTTGGTGTTTATTATTCAAGCGTGCCCATTCATAATCAAAAATTATGAAAAGCACCATCTCAATTTTCTAATTTAAAGCCTTTTTTGCCTCATGGATAATACTTAAGGATTATATTAAAAATAATAAAGAATCTCTCTACTACTTATATAATTCATCTTTGAGTTTTTAAAAATAGTTTGATTATATATTACTGCGAAATCTTCTAATATTGTATAAATTCTTTGATGTTAGTATTGCTACTCGAATGTAGTTGTAAAAATTTATTCAAGAAGATATAATCAATAGTTCATAACGTATTCAAAAAACATAAATATATAAAAGTATTCTGTTGCCCAGATGGTAAGTAATTTTAAAGGTTGTATCATAACACGAGATCTTATATGAATATATTTACCCAGTCATACACTTAAAATTTGCTCTATTCGACTTATACGTACATACTTTGAAAATATGATCTTTCACAATCTGATCTAGGCTCACGAGAAATTGATCTCAAGTTGATGACTTATCAAGCCGTTTTGAATTATTCAAAATTTTTGTGAGTACCATCAAATGTATATTTTCGGGGTGTTTAAGTAGTTAGATTCTATCAAGGTAGGATAACTGAAACTTGGACACAGATTTTGTGTAAATTTAGAAGTACTAATTCTAGAGCATCAGATAATTACAGGTGTAAATGTTTCTCAAATCAGTAAGTAAAACTGTAAGATGTGACAAAGATACCGTATGATTGGTACTATTACATATTCAAGGATTTTATGAATATTCTAGTTTCGATTTAGGCAATATGACTGATCAAGGACAGCGAAAAATTAAAATGTACGGGTTGTTCCTATTATCGTTGGCAAACGAGGGAATACCACGTTATTCGTGAGATTGAATTTTTTAAGCCATGTTCATGTTATTCATTGGTGCGTATTATAGTTTTCCACGTATTATTGATTTTGGGCCCTGAAAAGGGCCGTTTGTTTGCAAGTGGTAGCTTAGGCGCGTTCTCCACGAATACGACGAGCCAACTGGATGTCCTTGGGCATGATAGTGACTCGTTTGGCATGAATAGCGCACAAGTTGGTGTCTTCGAAAAGGCCGACGAGGTAAGCCTCGCTAGCTTCCTGAAGAGCCATCACTGCCGAGCTCTGGAAACGCAAGTCGGTCTTGAAATCTTGAGCGATTTCACGGACCAATCGCTGGAAGGGCAGTTTGCGGATGAGAAGCTCGGTGCTCTTCTGGTAACGTCTGATCTCACGAAGAGCGACGGTGCCGGGCCTGTAGCGATGCGGCTTCTTGACTCCTCCGGTGGCTGGGGCACTCTTGCGAGCGGCCTTGGTAGCCAACTGCTTGCGCGGAGCCTTGCCTCCTGTCGATTTACGAGCGGTCTGCTTGGTACGAGCCATGGCAACAAGTTATCGTCGTGAATAATCACAGAATAATGATGTCAAACGCGCCGGCTCTATGTTTTTATACTAACGCGCGACACGACTGCCGAGCCAACAGCGGTAGAGCGGGGAGATTCGTGCGGTACCGGAGGGGGGAGTTGTTATACATCGAGAGTAGGGACAGCAGCATATGCCGGTATAAATACACTGGTCTTTCTCTTCTCTGCATCAGTTGTCTATCCGCTTTGCTCAGATCAACGTATATTCAAAAATGACTGGACGTGGAAAGGGAGGCAAAGGATTGGGAAAAGGAGGAGCAAAGCGCCATCGCAAAGTTCTTCGTGATAACATCCAAGGTATCACGAAGCCAGCAATCCGTCGTCTTGCTCGTCGTGGTGGTGTCAAGCGTATCTCCGGACTTATTTACGAAGAGACCCGTGGTGTTCTCAAGGTTTTCCTGGAGAATGTCATCCGTGACGCTGTCACTTACACCGAGCACGCCAAGCGCAAGACTGTCACCGCCATGGACGTAGTCTACGCACTCAAGCGTCAAGGCCGCACTCTCTACGGTTTCGGCGGTTAAACACTTCCGTAACCCCACATTCAAACAATCAGTCCTTTTCAGGACTACCAAAAACCAACGTAGTATTGAACCATTGTTTCACATACTTTATCAAATACAGTTTCTTACAGAACATTGTGTACGTTACTGTAACACGACGAACCAATACATAAATGTTGCATAGACATAAGCAATTCATGTCTAGCATTTTATAATATCTGAAGCTAACATGTCAAGGGGTAGTCAAAGTAAACGATCCAACACGTAGCCTACGTGACGTAGGTAAACTGTCACCCAACACTCGCTCCCAACTCTACACAACTCAGTTTATGCCGCTACATCATTCACAGAAATAACACAGTAAGTAGTAACTAAGATGTACTGCTACGAAATTTTTAATGAGCTAGTTCTTATTCCTTGAATTAACAAAAGAAAAATCATTAAAAGAGTAGCTCCAAAAGAATTCGAGCTATATGAGATTTAATCGTCTGCTATTGAGCACAGTATTGCTATATAAACGTTGATGTCAAATAAAATCCGTTTTGATTTTTGTACGTTGACTAGGGCAACGTAGACGTATGACAGGTATACTGTATTTGGTTAATTCATATTGCTGTGGGCAAGTATCTATATAACGTCAGTGAAGCGTTTATAAGCATCTTGTTACATTTGAAGTAGTCACTGTACGTCATAAGTATGTCAGAAATCTCAAGTCAATCTCGTTCGACTGTAAACATTTATAATTACAATTGATATGACGTTCCACTACGTAAGTACTTGTATTTGACACGTAACTGGTTGAAAAGATTTTAGGTGATGAGTTATAGACTTCATAAATTTACATTACAGTACGATCAGTCATGAATTACCAACATGATATCGAGAGATTGAGCAGTAGTAAATAATTTCAAGATACTTCGAACTAATGTATTTGTGCTTTAATTATAGTTAGAAATACGTTGTAGTATTGTTGGCCCTGAAAAGGGCCGATTGTTTGTAAAAGTCAGATTTTACTTCGAGCTAGTGTATTTGGTCACGGCCTTGGTGCCTTCAGATACGGCGTGCTTGGCGAGCTCGCCAGGCAACAGCAGGCGGACAGCAGTTTGGATCTCCCGGGAGGTGATGGTCGATCTCTTGTTGTAGTGAGCCAAGCGGGAAGCTTCGGCGGCGATGCGCTCAAAGATGTCATTGACGAAGCTGTTCATGATGCTCATGGCCTTGGAGGACACACCGGTGTCAGGATGGACCTGCTTCAAGACCTTGTAGATGTAGATGGCATAGCTCTCCTTCCTCCTCTTCTTCTTGCCTTTCTTGTCGCTTTTAGAGATGTTCTTCTGGGCTTTGCCAGACTTCTTGACAGCTTTGCCGCTAGTTTTGGGAGCCATTGCTGCGTGGATTTGTCGTAGTCGATGATAGAGTACAACTGTGGGGCCGCAAGTTTGTGCGCAGTATTTATATGAGAAATTGTGCGTCGCGCGAGCGAACACATAGTGAGTCCCCCTCCACATTTCTTATTCATGCTTGATAGTGCTTCGCGCGCCGTCTGTTCGCTTATATAAAAGCTACATTTCGGCCACACTGTTTAATCTCTGCCCAACTTTCGTTCGTAGCAGTTACTCACTCAAAACTATTCAACATGTCTGGACGTGGTAAAGGTGGTGCTGGCAAGGCTAAAGGCAAGTCGAAGACTCGTTCAACTCGTGCTGGACTTCAGTTCCCAGTCGGCAGAATCCATCGTCTGCTCCGTAAGGGTAACTACGCCGAACGTGTGGGAGCTGGTGCTCCAGTCTACTTGGCCGCCGTCATGGAGTACTTGGCCGCTGAAGTTCTCGAGTTGGCTGGCAACGCCGCTCGTGACAACAAGAAGACCAGGATTATCCCAAGACATCTCCAGCTGGCCATCCGCAACGACGAAGAGTTGAACAAACTTTTGTCTGGAGTCACTATTGCCCAGGGTGGTGTACTGCCCAACATTCAGGCTGTGCTTTTGCCCAAGAAGACCGAAAAGAAAGCTTAAATCAATATTGGTTTTTCGTCCACCACACAATCAGCCCTTCTCAGGGCTACCAAATTTCAACGTATGAACTTCGTTCATTTTGCATAAAAAAAAAAAATACTTGATCTGTGCCCTATATTACCGACACTTCACGTGAACAAATTGTATATCCCAGTTCGCCAACAACTTTGTTAGTACCGCAGTTACGAATGTAGCTACAGGTGAATTTATTGTCTCCCACGCTGATGCCCGGAATTAAGTAAAGAAAACTGAACAGTGGGCTCGAAATTACTTTAAGATAATGAAGTCAGTGACACAAGGCGTGTGCTGATAGTTGATAGCGATATCATCGACCCAGATGTAGAATTCATATTCATGAGTGATTAAACGTTAATTTAAAATGGGTATTATACTAGATTGTTGTAGAGGTTCTTCTTACGAGGACATCGAACCGTCTGCCGCAGATCGAGTAAGATATTTTTAATTCATACATTCAACAGAATTCGTTCGTCTTCATTGTTGTACTTAATTTATTTATAAACAAGTTTGAGGTTAGACAATGACTAGGCTTGAAATGCTCTTCCTGAAGATACTGATGTACAATTTAGTATCATTTAATTTATGTATCTTAACGTCTTTTGGTAGGAATTGATGCGACAACAACAAGCTGAAGCCGCCGAAAAACGTTTAGCAGAGCAGGAAAAACGAGGTATAGGAAACGTTAATGCTGTTAAACGTCAACAAAAACTAGCAGAAGAGAGGGACAAAAAATTGAGTGCTGCCGAAAATGCGAACTCAGGAACCGGACTCAAAGTAAATTAATTTGAAATTCATACTCTAATATTACTGATTTTATCATTGTTGAAATGTAATGATTGATTTTAGTGGCAAATGAATTAATGATCAACAAACGATGTCGATGGAGTGGGGTTGTAGAATGTTCGATTCACACAAGTCTATCATAGCAGTTTATCGAATATACATAAAAAAATTTTTATATTTTTCTGTTATCGAATTATATATTTTCTTGTTACATTTATAAGTAAAATCAAGTTCACAATTCAACTAATTATTTGAGTTTGCACCGTCGGTACGAAAAAATAATTGTGCAAGTATTCGTATAGGATATCTTACGTATTCATTGCTGATTGATAAAATGTTAATGTACTTTAAACTAATTTCGAGCTATTCAATATTAATTATACAACTTACAGCGTTAAAGTTATTGTTGAGCGACACAATTATAATTACTACATAGCACTGATATTGATGAAATTCGTCCAATTAATTATAGATGTATTTATTCTTCTTTTACTATTTTGATTATATTACATAATGATTCCACATGAATTTTTGATTCTGATATTATTTTATCTAATCGTTATGTATGTTCTCGATAAAAAAATAATTCTATAGTTTTTGAATAAAAAGTGAAAATGAACATTATATTTCATTTGACCATTTGAATATTTAAAGGAGAAACAATAATTAAATTGAATTCTGTAAAAATTGCTATTTAAATTGCTGTATATGGCTAAATTAAAGAGATCGTTTTCCATGTAACAATGAACATGGTTCAAATATGTTTATTTAAAACTTTGATATTAAATATAAATGAAAATAATGAAATATTTTGATGATGAAAATTCTGTAGGTAAATTGTTTTCAAATTTATAATTTGTTCATAAAGTAATTGTTTTATTTAGTTAGTCGCCTTCGATAATTAGATTCAGCTAATTATTAATAAACTTGGAAAGTAAAAAAATGTCATGCTAAAGTTATTTTACTTCAGTAAAAAATTTATTACAATTTTTTTACATAGTATTAAAAATATACACTTTATTCTAAACTAAATATTATATCTTACACTCGTTAATTGCAAAAGCTAATACTTTATTATGAAAATACGATGCAGCTAAAGTTTAATGATTGCACTTGTAAAATAGTAGAAAAGTGTAAAAAAACTTCTACCTGTTATATCTTCTGTAATTTCTATAAAACGAATTGGAATAAAATTGTATCGATTTCTTACATCTTACGTAGCAAAAGAATATAATTATTTAAATATTTATCAAAACAAGTCAGATCTCAACAGAACATACAAAAGTAATTTACAATGGTTACAATCCTAAAAATGTTAAAAACTCTTAAATTTGAATTATTAAATTCTCATATGTAATTTCAATTAAATCTTCGAATACTATCTTGGTATTTTGTCAGGTACAATCAGTTCTTTCGACAGTCAATAGAATCTTAATAATTTTTGTTACATAATCATGGTTTTCTTTGAAATTAAAAATAATCTTTATGGCTGATGCGCTATTTACAAATTGTTTTATTTTGCACATAGTGAATGACTGAATGAGATAATGACGCAAAGGAATGCATTGTCGTGTGCTTTTTCATGATTTTCGAATGATTGGACGGACATTGCACGAAGAAAATCTTCTGGTTTCTTTATTAAGTATTAATGATTTTTGATGAGGTCCTATGATCAAAGAAATGAATTACAAAGATGTATATTTATTTTAGTTAAAGATTCAATTCTTTTTCAACTGACGTACTGACCATGATCGAAATAGTTTTTTGGTGGATCTCTTGATTTCTCGACCATGCGCTATTTGTATTTCCATTGAAGCACCATTATTTAAAGCTAGCCAAGTTCGAATTTCATTTGTTGCCAAAGATGCTCCTACAAATTTTTAAACATATTTCGTTTATTTTGTACATTTACTCGCAATTGTAAGTTTTTATAATTACCTAAAAGTTCGTGTAAAGTAATACGTCGACTGGCAAGTAGTTCTTTGCTTGCACTACGAATCTCGAACACAAGTGTAGCTTGTCGAGGAAGCAAGTCATGATCCAATTGAAAATCAAGAAGAAACTGTGGATTTGGCATAGCTGGCAACAGTCGTGATTTGGCTATAGTTTTGCCTCCCGTCAATGACATTGTCATTTTTTCCGGGCTCGAGCAACTGTCAGAGAAAACGAGGAAATACAATTAAAATTTTAAATTCATTAAATTACAATTATTTTTTTTTGCTAAATTACTTTTGAAATTTTATTCGGCAATAGAGCTGAGCTATATGAGCGACATGAAGACCTTGTGCTTGGAGTACTTTCCCCTCGATTCCACTGTATTTTTCTCGAAAACCATTTGATACTTTGTAATCTGCAAAAATGTTCATGATAACAAGCAACTAATAGAGATTTCATTTTTCGGGGAATAAATTGTCGAGACATACCGTTTGGTTTGCTTAGCCTCATCTTAGGACTAGATTGTCGCATGCGCGTAAGCATATCGGGTTGCGATACGGCGTGGGATAACGAATTTTCAATCAAATCATCCGCTGACGCGTCAGCCTCGTCTACTTCACTACCTCGTGGTTCCAGACTCAGGGTGACGCCTGATTTACTGGAATCACTCTTGCTATCCTCAATGTTCACCTCCGAACGAAATCGTCGTAGTTTCAGACCCCGCTTCATCTACAAACGAGTAAACATTATAATGATACATGTAATAGTGAAGTAGAGTTTTTAATCATCTGTAAAAAGGATTTACTTTTTGTTTCATCAGTCGAAAGCTATTATATTGGGGTGTTTTTTTGCCGAAACTCTGATCGGGACTTGGTGTTAATCTATGACTGCTGTCAGACAATTTTTTTTGATCCTCGTCGTCCGTGCAGTCGATCGATTGGTTCAGTTGCTCACCGTTCTTTTTACTGGCCGATGACCACTGATGATGATTGTTACTAACTGCCGTCAAATCGCTGCTGCTGCTGTCCTCGAACTTTTTGACTAATGTAATCATTTTACCTTCAGTCCACGGAATAATCGAAAATATTTATGTAAGCTATTATAGTGCAGAAAGTGGCAAATACGTGCGACTTAAATAATATAAGTTCTCACCATAGTTACTAGCATTTTTGACTTTGTGCAGCGGCGACGAATGCGCCGAATTGCTCTGCGGTGCTATAGGTGGTTTAATTAGTGTTACAGTTCTCGGTGGTGGTGGTGGAGGCACGACAGGCTCCAAATGTAGCCTCATTCTCGACTTTTCCATAGAAGGTCTCCGTATGATGTTTGTGGTATTGATAACGGGTGGTGTCTCCTGTGACTCACTGGGTCTAGTTGAGCCTTCACTAATTGTACTCGTAGCGTAAGTGCTCTGGGTCTTGTATGCAATGAGTTAAAATTAGTTCAATTTATACGTGTGATATCTCTATTTTGATAGGTCAATGAACAAGTACCTCACACTCTTCAGACAGTACTTTGATCTTCAATTCTATTGATCCCGATTTAGTTCCACGTAAGACGAACCAATAAGATTGGTCCGTGTTGGACAGCCTTCTAATTTCCTCTAGCGTCAGTGATACTTTTCCAAGGTAGTCTTTCATACCGAAAGTATCGTGATCCCATAATACCTGCATGAAAATATCACGCATAAGTAAAGAAAACTATTCCATCGCGGCTACATAAACCGTTAAACTGCATCATCGCGGTGACCAAGCATTCAAGTCTATCTACCAGTGTAACTCCGTTACAGAAACATTTGAAAACAATTTACGACATTTCGTATAGATACTAACCACATCGAGGGTTTCTCCACTTCGTGGCAAACCCATAATTGAGCTCTCGTCCCAGCACGGATTAAGGGTTTTTTTCTTCACGCTACTTTTGTACTTGGTCTCGTTGTTTAGTCTGAGTTCACAAAACGGATCGCTGAAACCGTTGAGATCCTTGGCAACAAGATCTTTCGCTCGTAGCAGTGTCACTTCCATCAGACCACTGCCGGTCGACAGTAAACTGGATACGTCTGACGCGGCTGCGTCCATGTCCCGATGGGTTAGCAGCAATTTTGCTTGTTGCATCCATGGCAAGCTGTTTCTTTTTGTTTTTGGCTCGTCATCGTCTACGCATTGATTTACGCTGCTGCGTCGACTGATAGGATTTTGATGTACACTTTTGACCGGATGGAAAAGTACCGATACGGTCATCGTCGATTGACCATTAGACCCACTTAATGTTAGCTCTTTTCGAACTAACCATTTGAGTCCCTATACAAAGATTCAAATTAATCCAGATTATATTGGCTTCTATGCATAATGGGTATTTAAAACGTAAATATCATTCGAAGATTTATCTGTGATGAAAACCACTTACTGGCGCTAAAGAAAGCATGGCAAGCCCAAGCATATCGGTATCGGCCATTTTTGAAATATTCCACGAGTAAATAACGAAACTCAAGGAAACTTGCGTATAATCTTGAACAAGAAATTCCGTTCTTGACTCCCAATGGGGTGACTTTGTTCCTCGGACGTAATGAGTTGTTTTAACCTTTAATTAATTCATAAAAATAAAATGAGTAAATAAATAATAATGAGTAAACAATTAATATACCTTTTATAACAATGCGTACCTTTTTTCGGTTATTGAACAACAAACAATATGGATTGCACTGCGTCGTATCACTATTGAGATTTTCTGCCGAATGAATATAAACAACCAAAATGCCTGAAAGAACATCAAATAATTTTAATGAATATCTTGTCTAAGGCTATTTTTAGGTGTATAATTGCATATTTGAAGTTTCACGTATCGATATTTTAAGCGAAAAAACAATTTAAAAAGAAACAAAGCGAAGAAATAGTCAAGTCTTCATATATACACGAAGGTAAGAAAGAGTGGGAAGTACAAAGAAAAAAAGCCAGAAGAGAGGAGGAAGAGAATTACCAGCCGAATGCAATTCCATCGAGTTGGGAATGCTCGGTTGAGGTGCGTCTGGCTCGATGCTAGGCAGGCTTGAGTATTCGAGTCTTGCATTTATGTTTGGAATGTTAGTACTACTTCGCGATGGTTTTTTCTGTTGCAGCACAGTTTCCACTCTGGAAAAATTCAATGAACTGAGCAATTATACTGCACAACTTGAGGCGTGTTGTGTTATATTTTTAAAATATTAAAATTTTTATAAAAATAATGAATTTGTAAAGATAATGATGATAATAATAATAAAAATAATAATAATAATAATAATTACACGCGAATACATAATTAGATGTCTGAGAAATGAACTCACATTTGCGAAGTCTCCCAGTTGTAGACGCCAAGAGCAAGTTCGAATTGCGCAAGAGTAATGGTACTGACGAGTCTCTTGGCCTTCAACTTGATTGAGATGCGTTCATTGTCAAGGGCACCGACGAGGAATGACACGTCTTCGCTCCAGCTCGGAGTGAGATGCGAAGTGACGCGACGCTGATCACCTATAGTCACTACCAGCCATCGCTCTTCATCCTCTCGAGCTAAATTAAAAAAACAAATAATTGCTCGTACTTGGTCGTTGCAATATGTTCGTAATATTATACTCACTTGCTGCAGCCAACTGCGAGAGCGAAACTGTGAGCACGGCTTGAGGTGTGGTCAGAGGCAAGCAATCGAAACCGGGGCCAGGTCGGTCCTGGGCTCGCAAATCGATCTCAAGGTGTCCAGGATCGACCAACCAACTGGCCAACGCATCGCTAACAACGGCGTGAATCCAGGTTTTTAGCAGAGGCACTTCCATCATTTGCACGGATCGGAGCAGGCGCACGCTAAACCACACATCGGGTTTCTCCACAAAAGATAAGCTGAGATGGCTCGCGTGAGGAAAAGGCGCCCCTGCGTCCAGAGTTAGAGAGGCCAGGACGGTGCCTGAGATCGATAGCTTTTCTACTGCTAGATCCATGTCCATTCCCATTCTGTGAAAAAAAATCGTTCTTTTTACAACGAAAAGCCTGTATTCGAGCTCATTAACAGGATTAAATATTTAAAACGACCTATGCGACGTTAATATAAAATTTATAAAATGCACATCTCTTATGAGATTCGATATTCTTCGTTGAAAGTTAATATTCATAAGTACAAGTATATCTAGGAAAAAACCTTCTCTTGGCATTGTTGTAATTCGATCAGTCTTCCGAGAACAGCATGAGCTCCCCTACGTATCCCTATAATACCTTTCACAAGTTGAGCAGGCTTGAAAAACTTGTGAAGCAGGTAATTCTATACGTACAACGAAATAGATCGAGCATAAACATCCACAAGTATAACTGTCTTACTTTGATTCGCTCGTTTTTTTCTTCATGTGTAAGTACCAACGAGCCCCAGAAAAGATCGATGAAAATTAAGTATAGATTATTGCTTACCCTTTTCCAAAGAGCCGAGTTGCGATGAGCATGCGAAACTGCTCGCAATCGAGGGTAAGATCGGCCTCGACGCAGAGTCTCGTCGATCCAGGCCTAGCACTGTTGCTGGCGGTACTGCTGCCGCTGTTGCTTAATTCACCCTCGTCGCTGCCGTTGAAATCGAGGGTACGTATGCGCGTCACACAGGGAGTTTGCTCGCCAAGGGTCAGTTCGCGTAGCTCTAATGAACCTATCGTCAATTAAGCAAGTTAGTATCGGCTGCAGCTCATTATCAGGGGATTATCGTTACGCGCGTTCATACTAAGAACTTGTTTTCAAATACAAACGCAATTAACGACTGTATTTTTTTTCTTTTTTTTGCGTGGACAAAACAATAACGCTCTCATGAGAAGAACGTCGTATTGAAAATTTTACATTTAAATATCAAGCAACGGCAGGATATAACAATCGTTTGAGAAATTTGATAGTTAATTTATTATAATTACCAAGTATTCCGGGCTTTGCATCATTTAACAGTGGTTCTAGTCTTTCTTTTGCTTGTAAAAATATGCTCGCTGCACTAAATCGCCACCTAAAAAAAATACGAAACTAACTCTAGTTACCTTCGAAAGAAATAATTTTCTTATCCACCACTGAAATGTGTACATTATCCTTACCACTTATTTATGAGTAAACTCAACCATTCCGCTGTCTCGTCCTTGTAAAGAGCACGCCTGCGTCTTAACCTGGCCAGTTCCTGTTGCAAGGTCTGCTGCATAAATCGCGACATTCGAGATTTGACTATTGTGCCGGCCAAGGCCAGTACGAGCATGAGCCACGCCAAAGACAAGCCGGCAGCACCAACTATCCAAGCGACCATCACACTTAGGCCCAGATACATGGCACCTTTCAGAGCTTCCCCATCGCGCTGAAAATTCATGAACAAATTTCACAATTATGATGGAAAGAAACCATCTCGAATACGATTCCATGTCGATTCGTATTCTAAAATCTATTACGATGTACGGTCCTTGACACGATAAAGCAACTCGTAATTATTGGCTATTGATCGTAGCGAAATTGAACGATTGTTAGGATAGACGCACGTGTGCCAAGAAATACATTTTTGCAACCACTTGACCTCATGACAAAATTAGGCATTGTATATTTTCATGTGTTTGTGTGTGAGTATTTAAGCAGGGAAAATCGTAATATAGCTACGACTGAAGTCATTTTCTTCGTACTCATTCGAACTTATTCTCAACATTGAAATTTTTTGTTTTAGGGTGTAACAATTATTAAATAAAATTATCCTCGCTCCATGTTTCTATATTTAATCTTAATTTTGGTTTTCTAAGAAATGGTATTGAATGCTTTTTGATAAAAAGTGTCATTTCTACCAACGACCTCGAAAGATTTTGTTGCTATTTACGCGCTCAAGTTCGCGTAGTGAAATTTCATGTTTACGTTCGAGGCCCGATTTTTTAAGGTTCATAGTATTTTAACCGGTACGAGTTTGTAAATGAAGACATGTAGCTCAAGCGACGAAGATGAAAGGAAAAAAAAATTAAAAGAAACAGCAAAATTGAATACAAAGATGTAGGCCGCGCACGCACGCGACGTTGCGTGTTGGTGTAGCCGTCGAGACATCGAGAGATCCTGCGGTGTTTACATACAGTGGCATTTATGGATTTGACATTAGTAATGTAACGTAAAATTTCCATCTCTGAGACTGTTGGTACAATTTATATTTAGATATTGAATTTACTTTTTATCGTTAATAGTTTTCTTCAAAATCGATTTTACTACGCATTTCAAGGTAAATTAACTCCTATGAAGTAAGCATTGACGTCGGCTTTTAATAACAATTTATAGCAATGTATGCAAAACAATTTAACAAATTATTTATCATTCAATGAAACGGTATCAAGAGAAAATTGCCACAACTAGTTAGAAAGAAATTTCATACATCAAGATCTAATGTGGAAATTGAAATAAATAAATATGGTTTTTCAGTAACACATAAAATGCCAAGTTCATATCAATAATACCAGCATGTATTCAAGTATTTCAATGAAAAAAAATTCGTAATATCGAACTAATTGAAAAATAAATAGACTCACGATGTCAAAATTAATTTCTCAGAAGATGGTACTATACAACATTTGATCATATCTCTAAAGTATTAAAATCACTTTCATCAATACTTGAAATTTTCATAATAGAATTTAAAATACCATTGAATATTGTAAGGTAAATTTCCAGATTTTCGAAGGCTACGAGTAATTTTTATTTGTAAATCGAGATTATTATTGTTCAAGTACTCTTGCATGAAAAAGGTGATGCGAAATGGAAAATGAATTCAATATTTGCTGTACTACTTTCATTTGTAGCCGATGTAATCTAAAAATACACAATTGAAACTGTGATGCTCTTTGCTATTTCAAGCTATTGATCGATGTTATCTTCAACGAAAAGCATAAAAGCGTGAGGAGAATATATATTTTGTTCCTGCGTACGTACGTGGGCTAACGAAGCGACAAGCTTATTTGCGCTTTCAATCGATTCGAGTAATTTTTTAATTAAGAATCTTACCAATGATTTTTGGAGAGTAGCAAATGTGAATTCATCGTCACCAACAGGATCATCGGGAGCCATCTTGCCATTCGTCAAGCCCAAAGTGACAAGGCTCAACTGACCAGGAAGTTCGGTTGCGAGATTTTTTAAAGCAGCCGCTGCATCGTCTGGATTCGTAGACGGAGACAGCTGCTTTCCGTCCGGACTGCTACTCGAACCGCTGTCCCGTTTTCCTGTAATGTTAACAAATTTTCATGCAACGTTAAAACATTTTTCGACACTTGACCGTATTTTAGAAGTGACATTGTTTCGTAATAAACGCTGTACAAGAGCCACGACGGAAACAAGACAGCTCGTGCCTTTCCTAACCGGCGAGAGTTAAGTATAGACCGAGACATAAATTTGCAGATAAGTACCTCTTCGCACTCTAAAATTGACGGGACCCATCGATCTTCAACTATAAGTTCTCCGAGAGACCCTTGATTGTTGTTTTCTACAAGGAGAAAGGAATTCTTACCCGATCTCACTGTTCGGTCTTAAGCCGTGGCCAGGCGATATCTAACAATTTGAGAAATAACGATCGAAAGCCCTTAAGCATCTCATGAAAGAGTGTCGGCAATTTAATACAGAGGGCTCCGGCCTTTTTTCGAGGTTTATGGCTCGTTTTTTTTCGCGCTGGCGCGTGGGTCACGCGTGCTGCTTGCGTGTGAGCTCTGTTTCGCCGCCATTTTTGCACAGGAAACGAACAGGTTTGAGATTATATTACAAAGGGAAAAGGTATCGAGACACGCAAAGTCGAATTCCGGAAATAGATGAGCTGCATTATGTGTGCCTAAGAAAATATGTGCAGAGATGCACATTCATCATATGCAACAAGCTGCGAAGCACGCAAATTTAATGTATTACACAACATTCGTCCTCGTCCTTTGATCATTGTCGCTTATTGAAAATTATTTCTCCACTTCTTTTAAAGTTGAACAGTACTAAAATTAAATATGCAAATATGAAGTGTTTGCTTAAAGCTGAGCAGTAAAATCGCTGCGTGTTTCATCGTGCAAACACAGAGTCGTAAAATAATTTAAATTTCAGTTCCGATTATTACTGATTACGGTCCGATACATGTTTTTCGTTGGCAAGATCGCAATCGTTTTTCAGTCGCAGACCATACTTATACAATAATCACAAACACTCATTGTTGAAATATTAATACACACGAGAGATAAGAGATTCACGCAGCACAGGGGTCGCTCGAAGCAATAAAACCATAAAATAAATAGGTCGTTGAGTATCCGCGAATCAAAGTTTAAGGTTGTCGGATAAGAAGAAAATTCAGAGGTTTTGCATTCTGAAAAGGGTGATAGATGTGTACGTCCAGCTATACAAGTATGCGGGGAGATCGCGTGACTTTTATCGATGTCGTCGTCGTTCGTGAGTGAAGTATATTATAATGCGATAGTACATCCATGATATTATTGAGTACAGCATATGGTTCCAGCGCTTCCCTATAAGACTGATTGCCGATGCTTGCATGGCATATCGTTCAAATCTAGATGGCTTTACTGACCCGTTTCTTTATTGAAAGCTTCGCATTCCAAAAGCTCCTAAGGTGAATTTTTTTCATTTGAATTGAGAAAACCTAATTGTGTGAGCGTAGGTCAAATTATTTGTTGAAAAAAATTGACTTGAATTTTGACTTTGTAAACTAAGAGCTCAGCTAAAGAAAATATTTCACTTTATGTATACTCGCAGCATTTGCGTTACTTACTTTTCGTTCAAGTTTTACTTTCAGAACCGACTGTATGTACTCAAAAAATATGAAACTACACACTACGCAGGGCATGAGCTGCCAGACAAAGAAGATAGCCGGGGCAGGTAAAATACTCGGAAAAAGTTACGAAAACGCAAACGAGAGAGAAAAGTGCAAGAACGTAAATACAGACGGAATGCACGAATGAACCTCAATCATTATCGTAAATATATAACTGATGGATCGTTACATAGCTCTCTCTCTCTCTCTTCTTCTCTTGTTTTTTACCCATGAGATAATGTAAGAAGGATAGCGTGTGGGGTTCTTTTTTCTCTCCTTAATTTTTTTGCGGCTCTCTTCACGGGAGAAAATGAGTGAGCCACAAGAACAATGATATAGACCAAACGTAAGCGCAAAGAAGCGCATGAATGTTGAGCGAGATTTTGCACGCCTGCGGAAGAAAAGTGATTCACTTCATGCCGAGTGTGCATTCAGCAATACACAGCTATTTCACTTTTCTTTGGCCTTTGATGCTCAAAGCTGTATGTAATATATAATACTCTTACAAAAAAAAAATCGAGACGATTAGTAACGCACCGAGTGCGATAGCTCAAGAAAAACGAGTTTAAGCACGCGCGCACAATAATGATTATTATTAAGCGCATTACCAAGAGGAAGCGCGTAATTTAACGCTGAATTTGGAGAAAAGTCGGTAGAAGATATCACACGAGGCGCGCGATCGAGCACGCGGATGGAATGAAAAATTCAACGGGGAAAAACGTTATTTTGTTTTAGCATTAAAAGTAGCGAGACTCGCGTCAAAATAAGTTCCTGCGGTGTACCACTGAAATCGCAAGACTCGAACGGTTCTTGCTAATGAATTTACACAATCGCGAAGCTTTTTTTGATTGTTTTTGTAGAATTAGACGCATTAAAAAAATTGAACGATAAACAATTATTTACCTTTTTTATAGGAAGGACCACGCTTTAAGTGTCTAGCCATGAAGTTCGATAGAAGTTGCATGATTCGCGATGGGACGAGCGCGAAATTCAAGTAGCAGCGGCTACATCACGTAAACTTCTCGCTCTCGAATCATACATAATAGGAGTAAAAGTTGTGTCGAGCGTTTACGCACAGAAAGAAGTTGAATCTACACCATTTTGAACGACTGGGAGAAAAATTCACAAGGCACTCGTGCAGCCGCGAGAAGCTATCGACTCAGCGGCCACGACCACGCGCATACATAAAGCAGGCGAGCGCGCGAAACCGACTGACCGTCCGCGGCGTACGCGAGTATCGTGCAACCCTCGCCGTTCCCACCACCGAGCGAACCACGCGAGCCGCGTTATAAATATGTTAAAGGGCTGTAATGTAGGTTCGCAGGTATGCACGAGACGGTATCAGGGGCAACATGGGCCAGAGGTAACTTATTATATAGCTTCCGATGCGACGATCGTATATTATCGTGTACACAGCAGCCTTTCCTTTGCTGCTATTCGGCCGATGTACGATATAATACATAGTGTGTGTCCCTCTTTATTTCTCTTGGCAATTCGGGACAACGCACACGCGCGGGTTAAGGTCGATTGCGCGCGGTTCCTCCGCGATATACAGCAGTACATTTGATTGTCATGAATAATACAGCAAATAAAGCGAAGGAGCGCATAAAATTTACCGATAATGCTAGAGGAAAATTGTACGATTGGCCGCTACGCTCATACCAATTAGCTAGCTCTTTAATTTTCATTTCGCCACCCTCGTGAAATTTTTCCGCTCTAACTGCCTCGAGTCACTCATCTAAATAGGTACCGTTGATCACTACTAGAAAATGATTGTTATTGATGTTGCATTGTTTCCTGCGACATTTCGTTCTTAGAAATCAGCACAGGTCATATTTAATACAGTTTGTATTTGAATTTTAATACCAGTACGTTTTGCTTTCTATGGCTGATTGAGTGTTTCACGTTTAGTAATTATAATCTTTTTGTATTTTGTCAAGGCTATAAAGTTTACTGGTAACGTGCTCAATTTTTGATAAAATGATACGTTTCAGGAAGACTGTAACGAAAAGTCGAGTAACATTTTTGGATCAGCAGTGCCACATAACTGTTCTAGTCGTGATATCGTGAGTCTACTGAAGGTGAGTATGAGGAATGGTAACATTATACTGAAGGCGAGTATGAGGAATGGTAACATTACTTTATTGTAATGTTGCGCACATGAGGTCCACGGCCGTTTGACCATGAAGTTTTGCTCGAGACAAGTGAGTCGAAAGTCGTTCGTTAGTTTAACACATTTTTTGACAACACAGATATAGAAAAAATAGAGGCCATAGCTCTCGAGTTAAATGAGCGCAGGACAATATGAAAAGTTCAATATATGAGCCTATGAATGCGTATCGTCGTAGCTATGTACGGGAGGCAGCATGCGATACGTAGCTGCGTATAGATGAGAAAGCCGCACGCGTATGGAATATCAGCGTCGCGCACCAGGAGCAACATGGAAGAAGCGAGCTCGAGTGATAAAAATGCAGTGCAAACGACGGAACCGGTAGCTCGCGTTCTCCGCACTCTCCGAAGGTATATGTGTACACAGCAGCGCACAAGAGGATCGCTGCTGCTTCTTTAGCTCGCGTATATATATGCATAGCTCTATACGCGTACGAGTTGCGGATAATACCGGTCTAGCCGACACGGAGCTGCGCGCGAGTCTATATGCGTGCGTTCTTTATGAGAGGATCTGCTCGAGCCTGCGGTATTATATTCAAGAGAAGAAAAGCTCTCATCCCCGATCGCGAGCGGCGAGCAACACTCGGTATCTTTACGCACACGCGTACACACATAAAGAGCAGTGATAGCGCAACTGCTGCTGCGAGGCCATGTGCACGATGATTTTCATGCGCTGGCTCATTTTAATATTCCGTTGCTTTTCATGGGGAGCTTCGTAGTTCGTATGGTCAATTCCTAAATTTTTCACCATTCGCTTCTTCTTGCTTTCAAAATGACAGCTTGAAGATTGAGTCGGGATTAGACGTTTACTCTAACAATTTTCGAGCTTAGAGCGGTTCTTTTTTCATTTCCATTGATAAAAATGTGTCTGAATATGAAATGAAATAAACGTCTTCATTAAAAACATATTATTTAAATGCTGATGTGGGGTTACTCATAATTGAAAAACGAAAAAAATAATCGTGTTAATCGCGTCCTCTGCGGGTATACATAGTACCACGATGTATGTTCTCGTACGAACACACGCAGCACGCTTATGCATATAAACATACAAATAAACGCGAGGCGGAAAAGAGACGGACTGCAGAGCTGCACGGCTTTAAATATAAACGTATAAAGAAAGTCGCGCGAGACACACGAGTGCTGTATGTGGCATAATACAAATGTCCGTGTATATCTCGGCTCCTTCCTGCCTGGCACACGAACGAAAGCGAAAACTCCGAGTCGAGTGCAACGAGAGAGCTGCATGTAGTATTATACGTATATATAGGTACTACGCGTGTACAAGATGTGCTACACACCGCGAGAAGAGAAAGAGAGAAGGAGCGAGAGAGAGAGAGAGAGAGAGAGAGAGAGACGCAACATCATCCTGAGACGCGTATACGTGTGCTCGCGACTCCAGTGTGTAGGTACGTTTGCGTACTATGCCGCTGCAGTCGCGATTCAACGAGAAAATGTGCGTGAGAGAAGTGTAAAGAACACATGCATACTCGTACGAGCACGGAGCGCGTAAAAATTTGCAGCGGAAGAGAGAAAATATAAGGGAGTCTCGTGGGCTTTGGACGCGTTGTGTACAGTAAAGAGAGAGAGAGAGAGAGAGAGAGAGAAAGGAAGGAGCCACGCGCCTCCGAGTTCATACGCTTTTATATACACGTACAATATGAAACAGCTCTCGAAATGTTTGGCTTATACGAGACTGGACTGCATATATATGCGCGCGTATGGAACATTAGGCCTCGCATACCTATCCACGGACTCTGTGGTTGCCCTCAACTGCATAAACCTATAGATGTGTATGTGCACATGTATATACCTGCATAAACATTCGCCCAAGAGCACACACGTATTTTCTGTGCGCCGCCGCCGCCGCCGCCGCCGCCAACGCGCCGTCGAGAGCTCCGTGCACGAGCGCGTCGTGAGAAAAGACGATTAGATTTAATTAGCGATTGCAGTTCCCATGTACACGTATACGCTCCGCATATGTATTGCGCGAGAGATTTATCGGATCTTTTCGTTTGATTTTTCAACTGACTATTGAGCAAAACGAGTGCAAACGGCAAATAGGCTAAATATTACTTTTTCGTTCGACGACCGATAGCTCGTGCTGTCTTACCGAGTGCTGAGATTTCAAAGCTCGTGTGCGAGACAACCTACGAAAGTGTGCGAATATCAACCTACGAAAACACATGGCACCTCGCAAGATTTTGGTTAAATTTATCGATAAACGGTTCAAATGCATAAGAAAAACAATGATAACATTTTAATTTTGTAATGTTTTTTTGCATGCTTCTTGGAACTTTTTTTTTATAATGAGTCGAAGGAACAATGATTGAAAGTTTCAAGTTTATTTTAATTGGTGGTATTTTCGGAAATTTCATTTATATCAATTGATTTGCTTTCATTTAGTATATCAAAAAATTGTCTTGACAGAAATCAAGTAATGTGATCATACCGTTTAGTATATAGAATAAATAAACATTCTCTGTAACAATTCAACTAAGCTGCCCGTACAATAGAAAGTTTTATGTTTATTTTAGAAAAAAATTAATGTAGTTCAATTTTGACTCATTCAATCTGAATTAGTTCTTTGATCATCTTATTCGAATCGTAAGTCATTTTTAGCCTAATTCGTGAAACATATTTACAAAAGAGATTTATATGTTACATGTTTTTTTTTTGAAAATAATAGACACGCATTTAGTTAATTGATTTGCAAGTCACGAGAAAATAATTTTTCTCAGTAATATGAAAGTGACAGTAGATTGTAAAATGGATTTACGTATCTGATAAATTTCTTGTTTTCAAAATGACGATAGTATAAACTAGGAAGGAAATGAGTGATAAGGTTTCATGGTTTAATTTAGATTATACTTATTTACATCACAAACTTTTCAAAATTATGGCGAAATAATCATGATTCTATTTACAAAATTGATGTTGAGTTTCAAAACATAGTGTAGGGAATGAAATCGTAGTAAACATAATTTATAATCTAATTCTCATGCCGCTAATTTGAGCGAATAATTCAATTTCAAACAAACTTTGAAGCACGAGATAGTTCTTCCAGATGTATAATAAAAGCTAATTTTTTCATCAATTGGATTTTATTTAGTCACCTGTCTTGTACAATGAATGCCAATTTTTAAGCTTCGATGACAGTGGAAAAAAAAGATCGAAATTTCAGATGCTCGACTGAAATAATTTTAGCATGCTCCGGCGTAGGCGTAGAATGGTACATGGTATTATAACCGATAAAGCACTTGGACATAATAAACGGACGATTGTTCCTACGTATAAACGTTTGCATATTTATATCGGTACATAAGATTTGCGAGCTATATCCTCCAGACCCACACTAAGGCGTGACACATCTTGCAAGCTCGTACGCGAGACGTTTGATATTTTTTTTGTAAAATTAGTATTTATGATATTACCATTCAATGAACTACAGCGTGTGTATAAAGAGAAAATATATAGCCCCGTGTGTTTGGGCTCGCGAGGTGAATGCACAATACCCGAGTCAAATTGTGTTTATGGGTAAATGTTGTTGCACATATTATATTCGTCGCCCCAGCGCAAAAACCGCACTAATAAAGTCGAGAGGCAAAAACATGCCTTAATCGCGGGCGACAGCATAGCGAGTGCTTAGTGGCGCTCAGCGGCAAGAACGTGTCTTATTTGAGCGCAGCGGCAAGAAGGTGTCTAATCGGCGCCGAATCTTTTGCGCTTCGATTTTAAGTTGGCAGCACTGTTAGACATCACCAGCTCAACTCGGCAGAGTCACGCGCTTTTGCCTTCGTCTGCAGTTCACTGTTTGTATATCACTGTTTGTATTGAAAATGTATGGTCGTTGCGTTGTGCTGTGTCGCTGCATCAAGTCAAACAGGTAAGTATGAATTGTTCATCTAGTTTCTAATATAATTATTTGTTGCAATTCTATATCTAACCTTAAACAAAACGATACTGTTGCAATACTTTGTTGCAATTTCTATAATACTCTTTCTATATTTCATATTCTTCTTTATATAATCTTACTAATAAGTTACCTATTTTTGCAACTTCTAATGTTTTTTTTGTGTTGCATATGACTGGTGGCAATTGCATCCAGAGTATGCGAAGAAGCAGGTAGCAGGCAAAAATAATTTGAATGCTGTGTCAAAGACAGCAACGACCATAACAGTTGCAGCATCAATAACAACAGCAACAACATCAAGCTCAACAAAGACAGCAACGACAATAACAGAGGCAGCATCAACAACAACAGCAACAACAAGCTCAGCTGTCAAAAGGGTTGGTTTGAGAGTTTAAGGCATAAAGAGTCGATCAAGACTGAGATAGACACAAATGCTGTCAGTACAAACGCAACACCTCAGATCTGTTCACAGTTTGTGCAAAACAGTTCTGAGGTATAGAGTTTGTACGTTGCCAATACAATTTTCAACTATGACTCAGTTCCTTTAGATTATTTTTTTTTTGCAAATAAAACTTATGTTTACAAAATATTCATATTATTCAATTATATATCAAACAATTATATTTATAAGTTTGGATCTGCTTTTTCAATAATGTTTACAATAATTGTTGTTCAAAAACAGTTCTGCGGTGTCGAGTTTGTATAGTGCCAATATAATTTTTAACTATGACTCAATTCCTTCAGATTATTTATTTTGTAAATAAAACTTATGTTTACAAAATATTCAAATTATTTCATTGTGTGGCACAAACAATTATATTTATTAAGTTTGGATCTGCTTTTTTAATAATGTGTAGAATAATTCAATTTGTTCAAAAATAGGCAAAGTTAGTTTGTATTATAGTTTCGCATAGTTAATGTATTTTTTTCTTATATATAAAAATGATTTGTACTTTTTTTACAGCACTTTGTACGTACAACTTGTAATTATTATTGTATATATTGAAAATAATTTAGAAAAAATATTTTTTCATATACTTATATTACCTAAAAACATTAAATAAAATTTGTTTTACAATTTGTATTTTCTATATTCAATAGAAAGACTTGTTTTATTATTTATATATATACTAACTTGTAAAAGTGATATTCGTTTCTGATCGCCATCAAATTTTTTAATTGTTTTCATTAATTTATCACTATTTTTAGAAAAAAGAATTTTATAATTTAAAATATGCGTTCGAATAACGATCTAAATTGTAAAAGACCACTATTTAATGTACGATGCACATATCAAAGGGCCGTTGGTGAAAATTTGAATTTTTGTTCGATTATTCAAACTATGATCAGCATCGTGACAAGCTCAGTTGCTTATGATACGTGGATTTAACATTTGCTTTCAAATAACGATCTGCGTTGTGAGAGATCAGTAGCTCAGTGTACGATGCATATATCGAAGGGCCGTTGGTAAAATTTTGAATTAGTGTTCGATTATTCAAACGATCAGTATCGCGAATAGCTCAGTCGTTCATCANTTTTACCTAAGCTACTATCGTCATTATAATTGATTTCATTGGGATACCCAAACTCCGTTAAGAAATCCTGTGGGACCTCTTCAAATACTTCGTCGATGACATCGTTATGCTGCCAGCCATTAAAACAACTCGATTGGGATAAAAATGCTGTTTAAAATTTAATCATGGAGTTACATATGTTATAACATATTTCAAATTTATACACATGCACTTTTTGATGTGAAACATCTATTTCACCACTAAACACTGTTGATGAATTGATTTGATCGTTAATACTTACGGAATTCTTGACTTCCACTCATTTTTTTTTAATATTATTATGGAACTTAAACGACAATTGAAAAAAACCAATTGTGTGAACACCTTGGTTAAGTGCACTGATCCACGAATGATGAACGACTGAGCTATTCGCGATACTGATCGTTTGAATAATCGAACACTAATTCAAAATTTTACCAACGGCCCTTCGATATATGCATCGTACACTGAGCTACTGATCTCTCACAACGCAGATCGTTATTTGAAAGCAAATGTTAAATCCACGTATCATAAGCAACTGAGCTTGTCACGATGCTGATCATAGTTTGAATAATCGAACAAAAATTCAAATTTTCACCAACGGCCCTTTGATATGTGCATCGTACATTAAATAGTGGTCTTTTACAATTTAGATCGTTATTCGAACGCATATTTTAAATTATAAAATTCTTTTTTCTAAAAATAGTGATAAATTAATGAAAACAATTAAAAAATTTGATGGCGATCAGAAACGAATATCACTTTTACAAGTTAGTATATATATAAATAATAAAACAAGTCTTTCTATTGAATATAGAAAATACAAATTGTAAAACAAATTTTATTTAATGTTTTTAGGTAATATAAGTATATGAAAAAATATTTTTTCTAAATTATTTTCAATATATACAATAATAATTACAAGTTGTACGTACAAAGTGCTGTAAAAAAAGTACAAATCATTTTTATATATAAGAAAAAAATACATTAACTATGCGAAACTATAATACAAACTAACTTTGCCTATTTTTGAACAAATTGAATTATTCTACACATTATTAAAAAAGCAGATCCAAACTTAATAAATATAATTGTTTGTGCCACACAATGAAATAATTTGAATATTTTGTAAACATAAGTTTTATTTACAAAATAAATAATCTGAAGGAATTGAGTCATAGTTAAAAATTATATTGGCACTATACAAACTCGACACCGCAGAACTGTTTTTGAACAACAATTATTGTAAACATTATTGAAAAAGCAGATCCAAACTTATAAATATAATTGTTTGATATATAATTGAATAATATGAATATTTTGTAAACATAAGTTTTATTTGCAAAAAAAAAATAATCTAAAGGAACTGAGTCATAGTTGAAAATTGTATTGGCAACGTACAAACTCTATACCTCAGAACTGTTTTGCACAAACTGTGAACAGATCTGAGGTGTTGCGTTTGTACTGACAGCATTTGTGTCTATCTCAGTCTTGATCGACTCTTTATGCCTTAAACTCTCAAACCAACCCTTTTGACAGCTGAGCTTGTTGTTGCTGTTGTTGTTGATGCTGCCTCTGTTATTGTCGTTGCTGTCTTTGTTGAGCTTGATGTTGTTGCTGTTGTTATTGATGCTGCAACTGTTATGGTCGTTGCTGTCTTTGACACAGCATTCAAATTATTTTTGCCTGCTACCTGCTTCTTCGCATACTCTGGATGCAATTGCCACCAGTCATATGCAACACAAAAAAAACATTAGAAGTTGCAAAAATAGGTAACTTATTAGTAAGATTATATAAAGAAGAATATGAAATATAGAAAGAGTATTATAGAAATTGCAACAAAGTATTGCAACAGTATCGTTTTGTTTAAGGTTAGATATAGAATTGCAACAAATAATTATATTAGAAACTAGATGAACAATTCATACTTACCTGTTTGACTTGATGCAGCGACACAGCACAACGCAACGACCATACATTTTCAATACAAACAGTGATATACAAACAGTGAACTGCAGACGAAGGCAAAAGCGCGTAACTCTGCCGAGTTGAGCTGGTGATGTATAACAGTGCTGCCAACTTAAAATCGAAGCGCAAAAGATTCGGCGCCGATTAGACACCTTCTTGCCGCTGCGCTCAAATAAGACACGTTCTTGCCGCTGAGCGCCACTAAGCACTCGCTATGCTGTCGCCCGCGATTAAGGCATGTTTTTGCCTCTCGACTTTATTAGTGCGGTTTTTGCGCTGGGGCGACGATATGTATACTCATCTCGACACTCGTATTTGTAAGCCCATACGCAGTGTAACTAGTGAGATCTATTTCGAGAATTCCGGCCAATGAGTTTGCGTTTGAAATACCGATGTACGCAATAAACATGGCAGGCATCAATGAACCCTCAAAACTTGCACTAAAATTAAGTTAATAAAATAATAATCGTAGTTTGATCAAATGTAGATCGAACAAATATTTTATTTTCAAGGAACATCTCAGTCGTGATGTAGAGTAAAACATGCGGAATCAAAATGCCATTATGTAGCACATTTTGTTGTCCAAATTCTTCTGGTCATTGAGTCGCATTTAAGCTCGAATCGAAATTCCACACGTGAGAGCCAGTCGCATAAGTCGCTTGTGATTCGTTCGCGTGCAGGCAGAGTACGGCGTAATGACACGGCTCGCAGCGAGCTGCAATTTCGGAGTTGCTTAAAAAAATACGACACACGTCCTTTATCGCGATAATGACACATCTTGACTGACTGCAGCACGAGGTATAAAGGCATGAAAGTGAATTTGGCGCTCTTACCCGCGAAAAAAAGAAACAGTTGGCCAAGATTCGTCATATATTCGCGATTATACGTACGCGATGCAGGGGTGTAATAATAAGGTGAGCGCAGTGCGCCGTGTTTGTCGGATAATAAGAAGCATCGTGTGTAGGATATGATACAGCAACGCTGTTTGCGCAAGCACGCCGTGACACGATCGCTTAAGCAAAACTGAAATTAGCGACTGCTAGTTACGGGGAGAAAGTTACCACACTGTCTGGAGGTTGCCGTATACAGTCGGGAAAAAATTTGGACGAAAATAATTCTAATTTAAAATTTTCACATGGTAATGCAGGGTTAGAGCTTTTTGGCTCTAGTTTCAGAGTGGGTGCATGCATGGGCCACATATATGGAACGTGAGAGAGACAAACGAAATGATTCTCTTTAAAAATTTGAAAATGAAAATTTACAAACATATATAACATTCGTAGATTTGTGTTGATTCAATTATTTAACCTTCAATAATTGCAGATTATTAGCATTTCAGCCAGCATTTATAAGATTTCCACGCATGTTCATAATAATTTATTTCGGCTCTTGATTCGTATTATTTCTTTAATCTGTTCGTAAAAATGCTCAAGAATTAACATTTATCAGTTTCAATTTTAGTATCAAATCGACGATTTTTTATCTTTACATTATTATTCATTAAACGTGCAAATATACAGAGTGAAAAAAGTATAGGAGTTCAAGCCTATTAAGATGCGATTTGAGTTTCGAGACGGCTCCGTAAAACTACGTGACCGTATAACGTACAGGAAGGATATTCTGTAGCGGATGAGCTCTGCGTCGACTGCAAAAGTTTTCAATAAAGAATATAAGATATAAATTATGTATATACTGTGAAATACATTTTAAATTCACAAAAGTTTGTTATTCGTTCATTCATTCACCGGCTCTGACGCATAAAAAAAAACAAGTGTATTATGCGGGCTTTCTATGCAATATTCAGATATTATTCAAATTAACCGCTAAGCATTATTATATTTGGAGTGCATTGGTTGTCGAATGTGCATATACACATTGGAGTAAGTGGATGGATTCAACTTTCACTTCGATATATTACCACATCATAAGTTTTGTGTGACCCTGCACGAAACAGATCTCAAAATAAGTATGACAGAGATAAGGATCAGTTGTTATAAAGGGTAAATTTTATTTTGCAAACGGCCAAGTTGAGATTTTATATTACTCCGATAAAAAAAAAATTATTATCTCATGGAACTAACGACGAATTGCCTGCAAAACTTTAATCAAAGGATATTTGCGGGGGGCGTACAGGATTTGTTCCAACGAGATGTTTTGAGTTCATCGAGCTTGCTTTATGGCAGCTACATGAGTGTCATTGCACACGCGCCATCAGGGCCACGACTCTCAAATCGAAAACTACTACATGCAGACAATAAGTCACGATAAAATCAACAACGAGTAGGAAAGAAATGGAAAACAAACAAAAGAGATAGAGAGGTGAGTGTTTTTGAATGTATAAGAACAGTACTCATAATTCATACGAGGCAAGCTTGCATTCCAGCTGCAACCGGACAAAAACATCGCGCCGAAGTCTAGGTATGTTTATATCCACGCTATAAGGTACTTTGTACTTAAATGTGTAATTATTTTAACGAGTACGAAGACTCCGAAGATGTAAGGAACTTACCTTCTCAATCGATCAAGATACGTTCGGCTTTATCACGCGTACGTCGCGCTTACAGCAGCCACCTTATCATCCTTGTACAGGCGACGTCGAGCACAGAGATGACAGCTTCAATATCGTGCTAAGTCTTGTGAGAATAACTCAACGCTTGATACGATAAAACTCGAAAAACAATGATATAATTTGGCCACAAAAGACGAAGAGAAATCCAAACAACACCCCAAGAAGTATTGACACTTATGACGAGTCGAAAGAACGAACAAAAACAAATCAACGTTTGTATTCGTTAGGATCGTAAATAGGCAGGAGTTATTATGGGAGCGCGCGCGAGGACGACGCCGCGCCGCGCCAGGCACTGACCTATGCGTTCAGCCACCATCTGCTGTTCGTAGCAGCAGCAGCATACTTACGCTTCCCCCTTCTTGTCGTCTTTTCTCCATACACTGCCGCATGCTTCCCCGCCTTGCTTCTCTTTCTCTCTCTCTCTCTCACTCTCTCGACTCACTTTTATCCCTTTTTTCGCTTATTTTTTTACGTGTGTTTCATCTCTCTTTCGCAGTTTCATGCTCGCGATCGCCGTATGCGTTACCGTGTGTTCGGTCGAGACTCGAGACATCCATCACCACCACCATCACTACCACCACCACACACATACACATGTTTACTCTAGCGCGTTGGTGTGATATCCATGTGTGTGTGAGCGTTACAACTCTATGCACGTCGTCGTTCTGACTCATCTCAAAATATCCCTTCGTGAGATTTTTCTATATGCTTCTGCTTTCGCACTGCCATATACCTATATACATTTATACAAGTATCCCTCGATATGCTGACTGTTTCCACACGTGCGGGTATACCTAACTGCGTGCGCCAAGAAACGAGGGGAGTGACTACGTCATGTACATCATTATTGTAACTGCTAAAGCTATTATCATTATTATTAGTAGTAGTACTAATGCAATTTTTTAAATGAAATAATTATCGCTTGACAACCTGCTCGATATTATGATGAGAAGCAAATGATTTGTGTAGCAAGGGTTTCAAATTTTGACGCTCTGCTACTCGCATGTCATGTGCAATTGACCATCATTACCTATAACTAAATTTGACTGTCTTTTTTATGGACCATGTATTTTTTTCATAATTAAGTTAGATCAATTTTTCGAGTTCATTTGTTGACTTTGACTTGATATCTTGTGTAATCGTTAATTTTTCTAGTACTACAGACATACGGACATTAACAAATTAATATTATTCTTATACATTTTAAAGATATATAAGGTGCAACCACTTATATCAACTTAAATGACATTAATAAATACTGTATTTACATTCTAACTTTCAAAAATGTAAGCTCATAAGTCTCAAGGTCTAATTGCTTTAACGAATATCATTGTCGTATGCATCATTTTAGAGTAACTTGTCATGTACTTTTTATAACCAGAACCCTTCGTAACTGAAGTTAAAACAATCGTTTACTTTATTTTCTTTCGCGTTACAAAAGATTAATATATATTTGATTTCAGAATTCTTGTGATCAGTGCAAGATTAGTAAATTACTGCGTTGTTGCATGTGATAGCCCTTAAAAGGGCTGATGATAATTTTTCATTAATCTAGGCTTTTTTCTCGGTCTTCTTGGGTAAGAGAACAGCTTGAATGTTCGGCAAAACTCCACCCTGGGCAATGGTAACACCAGACAAGAGTTTGTTCAACTCTTCGTCATTACGGATGGCCAGTTGGAGATGTCTTGGGATGATCCTGGTCTTTTTGTTATCACGAGCGGCATTGCCAGCCAACTCGAGGACTTCAGCGGCCAAGTACTCCATGACGGCGGCCAAGTAGACTGGAGCTCCAGCACCAACTCGCTCGGCGTAATTTCCTTTGCGGAGCAGACGATGAATTCTGCCGACTGGGAATTGAAGTCCTGCGCGAGTTGAGCGAGTCTTTGACTTGCCCTTGGCTTTACCGGCACCACCTTTACCACGTCCAGACATGATCAGTATAAGTATTGCAGATGTGCAGCGCTCTACGATATCGGCACAAGTAAGCAGGAACTGGGTGTTCAGAATATTTATATGAGCGGCTGTGCGGCGCGCGAGCAAAGCCGTTAAAAAAATACGCATACATTTCGTGGAGGGGATCTATACACGTTCTGAGCTCGCGCGCCGCACAGCCGCTCATATAAATACAGACTGCAAACTCGTGTCCCCTCATTCTTTCGTATTCTCTCGAGTTCGCAAGATCCCAACTCTCGCCATGGCACCTAAAACTAGCGGCAAAGCTGTCAAGAAGTCTGGCAAAGCCCAGAAGAACATCTCCAAAAGCGACAAGAAAGGCAAGAAGAAGAGGAGGAAGGAGAGCTATGCCATCTACATCTACAAGGTCTTGAAGCAGGTCCACCCTGACACCGGTGTGTCCTCCAAGGCCATGAGCATCATGAACAGCTTCGTCAATGACATCTTTGAGCGCATCGCCGCCGAAGCTTCCCGCTTGGCTCACTACAACAAGAGATCGACCATCACCTCCCGGGAAATTCAAACTGCTGTCCGCCTACTGTTGCCCGGTGAGCTCGCCAAGCACGCCGTCTCTGAAGGCACCAAGGCCGTGACCAAATACACCAGCTCCAAGTAAACCTCTCGAACCAATCGAACAATCGGCCCTTCTTAGGGCCAACAAATCATAAAACGTATGACAAATTAAAGAGCTCAACTCTCACTAAAAAGGTTGAAAAGTCTTCGATCGCGACAACCAATTTCACTACTAATTTTATTATCTAAGAATAATTCAGAGGGTGTGAGTAGAGTATTCATGTGCCAAACTATTAACAGCCCTTTCATTATTCTCAGTTTATTGTTAACGATGCTACCGACTTCACGGAAAATCAGCATTATTACCAAAGCAGCAACTAATAATTGTGTAGAATAATTTACATTCTTTACCTCGATTTTCACTATTATAAAAAGATCTTAACGCCATTTTATTCCATTTATCGTCAATCGGCTTTTCTAATTTTCTGAATCGTATTTCTAAAATTATTGTAAAAATTATTGATACTTGACTATTAAGAGAAAGCACATACATAAGTATTGAATGGTATTATCAAGCAAAATCAACTGTGATATCCATACATCAAATTTAAATCATTTTAAATTATTTAAACAAATAAGTTGCCTATTTTATATTTTCGTATTAGCTATTTAACACTGAAAGTATAGTGTAGTCATCGTATTGATGTTTGTTATTATAAATAGTTGTATTTCTAAAAATTTATTTCTACATGCATTATCTTGAATGAATAAAATAGTATTCATAGAATGTTTCACATAAAATATGAAATAGTTTAAAATTTGGTACGACTGATTGCGATTTTGATGTACATGTGTGTGACGTACAAAATGCATTATTTCTAAAACAGGTCATTGAAGAGCATTAAAATAAACTGCATTAATTAAAAAACCTAAGAACTCATTGATTGTACAACGGTGACATCCTGAAACGGAACTTTCTTTGATATTTTATGAAAAATTTTATCATTTAATTATTGAATAATTAAAGTACTTTTTTGGAATTGGCAGTGAGTTTCAATATCTATAAGCATGGTAGCATTTGGATTTGTTGAATTCGTCGGTCTTGAAAATTGAAAGCTGATAACGAAGCAATTTTTACCTTTATCGCTTTCACATGAATTCAAAAACTTTTTTTTAAATGTTTCAAATTATATTATGGCTGAGCTGATAATTTGGTTTTGATGTAATATGGTTAAAAATAAATTCATTTGAATCAAGAAGCTATATGACAATGAATTGATACTAGCGGTTTTTTGACGATTCATTGATACAAATTTGCATTACGATTTGAATAACTTAAATTCTTAGATTGAGTAAATTCTAGTGTTTAATTTTACCGTTTTAGATTCGGTAACCTTACGACATTATTTTTTCGTCATTCACATATTAATATTGACTCGCAAATATATACATGTTCATACGTTTGACTTTGTGGTGGCCCTAAAAAGGGCCGATTGGATACGACGAGGTATGATTTAACCTCCGAAACCGTAGAGAGTACGACCTTGTCTCTTCAATGCGTAGACTACGTCCATAGCAGTGACGGTCTTGCGCTTGGCGTGTTCGGTGTAGGTGACAGCGTCACGGATGACGTTTTCGAGGAATACTTTCAGAACTCCACGAGTTTCCTCGTAGATCAAGCCTGAGATACGCTTAACACCACCACGACGAGCGAGACGACGGATGGCAGGCTTCGTGATACCTTGGATGTTGTCACGAAGAACTTTACGATGACGCTTGGCTCCTCCTTTCCCCAATCCCTTGCCTCCTTTGCCACGACCAGTCATGTTTTAATATTCAAGGATGTGCACTTAACGACAGTAAGTGATGTTCTAATTTCCATGGGAGAGTCTACTGGTATTTATAGGTTTCAAATCGAGGGTACCACAGTTATCCCTACTCCATTTTTTCATGTCGGTTCTCGGTTATAAGATGTCATACACATTACAGTTTATGTACTGAATTGGTCAAATGAAATTCAGCACACTTATATTTAATTTTTTTAAGGAGTATTTGGAATGCATATATTTATAGTAACAAAAATAATTTATAGAAAATTGGTCGATCCACATTTAAAAAAAGTATATTAACACGAAGAGTTTCACCTTTATTAACTTAAAGTTTGATAAAGAGTAACAATGTTGAAAATATTATGAATATATTATTACAGCTCTAATAAGATTCAACCGAATTTATTTATTAGTTTAATACGAACATTATTTGGATTATATATGGTTAAATTATTTATAAATAAAATACAATTAATAATATCCTTAAGAAGTAATAATCTTCAATTTAAAAACCTCAGTAAACTAATAGAAACGTGTTTTGTATAAAACGAAACCACTTCCACTTCCAAATTTCATCTAATTTTATTTAATCCTTAACAAAAATCGTTTCTTCTAGAAAAATTAATAAAATTCTAAAAACTTTTATAAACTTTTATGAATTGATATAAACATTTGAATTTGAGACTTCCATAAAAGTTAATAAAAGTTTATAGAAATTTATAAAATTCTTTTATAGTTAAATATCATTGTAAAGTTTTTTTTTATTTTCCAGTAACAATAATGTCAACTTTTATAAAAAGTAATGATATGTTCCAAAAAAAGATTTCATGTTTATAAAAGATAATCAAAGATAATAAAAGTTTATGGATATTTCTATTTAGCAATTTCAAATTCTAAAAAAAATGAGAATAAGCTTTTGAACCAGATATTGTACGATAATTTGGTTCACATATATATTCGTAAACTACATAAAATTCTTAATAAATGTCTGTACGTGTCATATGCTCAAGGACGTGAGGCATTAAATTTGTTGGTAGAGAGTCATTAAAACTTTGAAACGGAGAAAAATATTGAGATGAAGTTGGGCTTTTTTTGTAGCATGTGTGAACCTAAAAAAGCGTCAAACAATTATTTAAGAATTTATTAATTTTTTAAAAGAGTAATTAATTCATAACTTCTATGAATTTGATCAAATTATATTAAATTTTGCACATTTAGAATTTTAAAAAACTCTCAGATGTTGAAGAAATACTATTAACATTTATAAACTTTTATAAACTTTTATTAACTTTAATTAGAGTCTCAAATCCGAATGTTTATATCAATCAATAAAAGTTACTAGAAGTTCATAAAAGTTTTTAAAAGTTAATAACATTTTATAGCAAAAGATAATTTCCGTTAGGTATACAACTATTTATTACAAGCACATGGAAGTCTTTGTAGAGATATTTTTCTAAAATTGATCTAGAAAAGTCAGGTCTCACACAGTTGAACACGAGGCTGCAAACTCAGTTTAGGGGGGCATACCTACGTTAAATCCTGTAAATTAAAAAACATGAAAACTTAATGTGAATATTAGATTTTTTTCAATTATTTATCAAATTTAATTGAAAATTTTAATTTGAATAATTAAAAGTACAATTTTAAGAAAAAAATTGCAAGAAATATCTAAATAACCATTTATTTAAAAACGTAAATTTTCTCGTTTTCAGCTTGTTTTAGTTTTGACGAGGTAATCAAACATTGTTTGAATCTAACTGGTGTAAACTTCATTTGTTGATTATATTTTTCTCTTAAAATATGGAATTCTGTATATATGTTAGAATTTCTGTTCCAGAGGCAGATATAATGATGCATGCTGTTAATATAATTCATAGAAATAAGAATTAAAATATGAAAGTGAAAATTTAAAAAACTTTTAACTTATTAATTTAAAAAATTTTTTTAATTAGAGTATACATATACAACATGCATCTACAACCAACCCAAAGAATGATATAATTGTAAGGCTTATTATTTTAAACGACCGTTTAAACATTCAATGCTCTGAGATGATTTTTATTTTTTTTTTGTCAGCATTTCTACGGAAATTTTCGCAAAGTGAGGGTAGTCAAAAAATCAAAAACCTCATGGATTAGGTTTCTCGATAAAGAAATCCAATTTTGACCTTGAATTTGACTTAAACGTAATGCAAAGACGATTTTTCAATAGGAACTCTAATTTTTATTGTAAATCACAAAAGAACAAGCAATTTTGTGTTCGTATATGTTTTTGATTTTATTTAAAATCATTTTAAATGTGCAGAGGTTGCAAATACAACACTGAATTTAACTTAAATTAAAAAAAAGAAATCGAGTAATCACTTTTATTTGTTTCTCCCTCTGAGTGTGCCATCAAAATTGTGTTTTTTAGTCCGAAGTTCCAGTATTTAATTTGCGGTGCAGCTTTTCTTCCTTGAAATAAAACACATAAGTCAGAGACGTCGGAATCGATTCGTTTACTCAAGAGCTTCAAGTCGAGAATCAAGGATTCGGAATTTTTGTGTGAGGCGATATTTGCACATAACTTTTTTTCTAATCTATGACCTCAAAACTACCAAGAAATTATTTTTCAAAGAGCTGGATAAACAGGAGTTGTCTAACTAATAATGAAAAATTATTTATTTACCCCATTTTTTTTTCAATGTCTTATATCATATGAAAATCTTTTTTAGCTTAGTCCTTAGCATCAAGTAGCATGCGCATTTCAACGTTCAATATCTATTCCATAACAGCGGAAGTACATCTGAGATCTATAGTCTTCCACTGATGAGCGTGAATGCTGAGTTCATATATAATAATTATATATTTCGATATACTTCAAAGACGCTAGCGTAATTACGTTCTAGTAGGGTTTGAAAAATAAATTGCGAATCTTAAAAAAATGATGTATGCAATTGAAGAGAGTAAGTTGCCTATAGTTACACTAGTAATTTAAATAGCTGTTAAAAATGTATATTCAGAGATCACCCAAAGACTAAAATAACTATCGTTGAAAATATTGCTGACTGAAATGTATAGTTGACGGTTGTTTTCGTCAAGAACTGGATATTATCGGAAATAATCGAAAAAAATTAAATATAGTAGTTATAGCGTCAATAATAAGAACTCGTCAATTTTTCTGATTTTTTTAGATTTGATGATATTCAAATTTAGTTTTGATAAGCAAAGCAAACGTTAATGTAATTGCAGGTTCAAAAATATTGGTGCATTCTTAAACAGTTATGTTCAACGTTATAATTCATGTGTAGCCCTGAAAAGGGCTGTTAGGTGTTAGTAGAATAAAGAATTTATTCTTTGGCTGGTTTCGTGGCTTTAGCTTTTTTGACAGCAGTTTTTTTCGGCTTGGCAACTTTAGGTTTGACAGCTTTAGGCTTCTTGGGAGATCCAGCGGCTTTCTTCGGTTTAGGTGATTTCGGCTTTTTGGCAGCAATTGTTTTTTTCTCACTGGCTGGCTTTTTGCTCACGGCTTTCTTGGCAGCTTTTTCACCAACTGCTTTTTTAGCTGCAGGCTTCTTAGGTGAGGCAGGCTTTTTTGTTGCGGGTTTTTTCTTGACGACTTTTTCGACTTTGCTCGCTTTTTCTGCCAGTTTGAAAGAGCCAGCAGCTCCAGACCCTTTAGTCTGTACCAAGACTTTTTTTTCAACGGCAGATTTAAGATATTTACGAATGAAAGTAGATTGCTTTTCGACATCGACCTTGTAATTGGCAGCTATGTACTTTTTGATGGCCTGAAGACTTGATCCTTTTTTGTCCTTCAGATTACGAATGGCGGCATTGACCATCTGAGCTGTAGGAGGATGATCTGCTTTCAAGGCCGGTTTCTTGGCAGTGGTAGCCTTTTTGGCAGCTGCCTTTTTCGGGCTCGCTACTGGAAGGGCTGCTGGTGCTGAAGCGGCGTCACTCATCTTGAATGGGCAAAAGTAACAGTCTTGATACGCAGAATGCTAGAGACGGAATGTTAGCAAATGCATTGCGAATTTCATATATACTGTGTGCGCGGACCTCGCAGAAACGCTGCTATTGTATGATCCTCTTTTGCCCCGTTGGCAACATATGAAAAGTGACTGCTTTTTTATTGAAAATTTGATTTAAAATATTTAGCACTTCAAATTAATATTTAGTGTCAATTATTATACAATCCTATATAAGCAGAGCCTCAATTTTTGAGGTCTTGTAAGATATTTTTCATGCAAATACAATATTAGGAGAAATTAAGTAACAAGAAATTTTTTCGGTATTAAATGGTCTTGATGAAAAACAAGTATTACTAACTCTAGGAAATAATTTCATGTTTAAATGAATAACAATTATGTTTTCTAATATGTTTTCTCTGACATGAATCTTAATATGACAAAATTATAATGTGTTTACTGCTTGGAAATTACATGAAAACTGATGAGATTAATAGTTCATACTTTCTCTCATTCTCACTCCTCGATACAGTATAAGGTGAGTTATAGAAGCTTGGCTAAATGTAGTAGATTTTTACTCACATTCATGCTTCGTTTTCTTTTAAAATTGTTGACCATTCAATTGGAAAAATTAAGATATTTTAGTGAAATAAAATGTTGAAATTTATCATTTTACACTAACATTATTTTTAATGAATCAATTTTTGAATGAATATAAAATATAAATTATCACAGAAAATTGATGGGTGCTCAGCAAAATATTATCAATTTTCAACAAAGTCAGTAGAATTTAAAAGAAGTAGAATTTAAAAGAAGTAGAATTTCAAACAAGACAGTAGAAAATACGATATTTAAAATCATTTTAAAATATACTATAAATCAACTTTTTAATATTTATTGGATGAACATAATGTATGTTATAGACATCATTCACTCGATGTACGTTTTATGGAGCTTGAAAAATAATAGACGAACAGCCTTCAAACGACTATTATCAAAACTGATTTTTCAGAACTGGTTTGGTTTATTGAATTTTTGAATTGTATAGTAGGTTTCTTAAATCATTTTTTCTTAAAATTTAATGCAAAAATTCAATCTCTGAGTCAATTCAGGAGGGTGGGGATATAGTTATTTATTATAATTTTCGCATGATTTCGAGATCTTTTTTAGGAGATCTGGTAATGATAAGCTATTAAGATTAAAGTATATGCTACATATGCTAGCCTATAACAGACTCACAGTATTATTATTTTCAAAAAACATGGACAAAATCCATTTTCCGACTCTAAAATCATCTAAAAAATGAGGGTTGTATTATTTGAAAGGGAATCGCATGTAGTTTTTGGGAAAATTAATCCCGAACAGATTTTAAAGAGCTCACATCCCTAAAAAGCATTCTAAATACGCGTTATTTTTCTTATTTTCGATCGACGTTTCGAGGAGAGCAAATATTATAAAAGTCTTAATAATTTTTTGGAAACAAGGGAAAAAGACCTTTATTTTCTTTTTTTAAAGATCGATGGTTTAAACGTTTATCTGATGTATAGTGATTTGTTAATCAAAATCTAACATACACCATCGCAAAGTACTCTTTTTAATGAGTAATTTAAAAAAAAATAGAGCTCTCTACGGTAATTTGTGCGCCCAGCAGGTCGTTTTGAAGGTACGTTTTGCTAACTTAAAAACGACAGGTTCTAACACCATCGTTAAATTAACGAGTTCAAAACAAATTTTGACTTTCACCATTTTGGTTTTTTAAATCAAATTTTTATTCTTTCTTGTATATTACCCTGCCTTTTAAGTAACTAAAAGAAGTGTGCAAAATTTGGCAACGATCGGCCGATTATATCCAGAGATACACTGTCTATTTTCGAAAAATCACTATTTTCGTTATTGAATGAACTCGGGAAAATACATTTCGGTAATATAGTCCCTTAACTCGGGTAGAAAAAATTTTTTTTTACTTCTGGCACCAAAAAATAAACAATTTAATGTTTACATAATTCTTCAGTAATGACGCTGAAGTCTAGAGCTAAAAACTCGCTTACCGCTTTAACGACAATGATTTATTTGACGATACAGACCCTAGTGAAAGATTAATCATGAAAAAACCGAATTCTGAAAGCCCAGCGTATAGCACAAAGCTGAAACATCATCGCGTTGCACCGAATGCTGAATTTGCATCTTGCTGCACTGAGTTCTTGTATAGAATTCATTTTTAACCGTCATGTTTTTGTGCGCGCCTGCATTAGTGAAAGTTTATTCATGAAATGCATCGTCATTGCATATGAGTAAAAAAACAGTAAAAAACGTTATGAAAAAAAACCTTTTTATAAAATCCCGTGAAAAAAACACACCTCGTCGGATGCCGTGAAGAAAAACACACCTCATTGAAACGCCATGAAGTAAAACATATCCCATCGAATCACGATTTAACGATTCACGTTGAAAATATCTTGGTCTTTCAAAGAGTTGTGTTTTTTTTCACGGCATTTTGATGAGGTGTGTTTTTTTCACAGCGTTTTAATAAGTTGTATTTTTCTTCGCTGTATTTTGTTAAAGTGTTTTTACTCATAAGCAGCGGCGGCATATAGGTTTGTTTCATATAAAAAGGTTATGCGTATCATACATGATTTTTACATGAATCGTATATGACATGTATGTGCAATGTACATGGAAATTGTCTAATTTTTTAATTTATATTTCACAATAAGTTCATGAGAATTTTATAAAAAATTTACACGAAATATTTGTAAAAAAAAATTGCGAAAATTTTCCAGGACGATCTCCTGAAAGCGCTATCTATTACATTCATATGAAATTTATTGAGTTTCATTTGACTCTACATGATTTTTATAAAAAATTTTTTTAAATTCTACGCAAATTTATCTAAAATTGAAGAATAATAATTCATAAAAATTACATATATGCTAATACATCAATTCACATCAAGTTTCGACATTAGAACGTACGAAATTTCTCGACAATTTTTTAGAATTCTGCTTATGTGCAGTACAAGCGAAGTTTGAATCGGAGTATGAACAATTCATTGTAAAAATGAAATATCATTGAATTTATTAATTATTTATGAAAAATATATAACAAGGAAATAGGTGAATAAAAAGGAAACTGTGGCGACCTGCTCGCCTTCTTATCGACACGGTAACTGACGCGCAAGCCACAAGCGCGATCTTCCTTTTCCGTCTTGTCGTGCGTCGTTCCGAGTATTCGGCAATTAGCCGCCGACCACCAACACGAGCACATCGTGCTCGATTAATAAATCACACATTATCCAAGTAATCTTTAGTTTATTCATTTACCTTATCCCGCATTTAGGTAACTTAAACAATACAACTTAATTAGTCACCATACGTGACTAAATCGCTTTAAAACGCTGATATTATTTGCAAAAAAAAAAATTTAAGGGCCTTCTATACGGACTCAGTCGGTAACACCAGGATATCAAGCAATTTATGTGTAATCTGAAAAATTGAGAGTGTCATTCGCCAATTCTCGAGTGGACGCACATTTCTAATACACTTATTAACATTGTGGTCGAGTTTCATCCAATTTCATGCATTATTGAAAAAGAAGAACGAAAACTACGAATAATCATGTTCTATAAATATTCGTAGGATAACGAGATACGTAGAAAAATTTTTTTTCACTAATGATAAAAAAAAAATTTTATAGCACTGTGTGGCATAGGTTCACATTTATGGCACGCTTTTCTGTGGCATAAGTCGCACATTCTGGCACCGCTGCGTTCGCATCACACTCGCATACGCTCGTGCGCTAACATCACTTACGTACTACCAGAAGTGCGACTCATGGCTCGGAAAAGGGGGCATAAATGTGAACTTTGCACAGTACTATAGAATGTTGTTCGATACTCGGGCCATAGGGAACACTTTTCGGCCCAGCTATTAGGACCCTCGCTGCGCTCGAGCCCTAAACTACGCCGTGCCAAAAATTGTTACTTATGGCCCTTGTATCGAAAACTACTATTTAAATAATACAAATTAAGCGTAAATTTTAACAAATTTTGTATTAAGTTTGAGCTAACATAGTTTTCTTTAATAATAAACAATGTTTTGACAAATCATAAATTTTGAAAACAAAACAACACAAAACTAAGAAAAAAGAAAAAATCATAAAAACCAAATTTCATTTTCAAAACTTTTCACACTTACGGTGAATCTTTACACTTTTTATCTAAAATCAAAGGTTTAAAGCTCTTTCTTAAAAAAAGTATTACTTTTAATAAAAAAAGCCGGTTTGTTTTAGAACATATATGACAAAACTAAAAAAAAACATGAAAAAAAAGTTTTTTTTCTCGATAATCCCTCATAACTTATTAATTACTTAACGCAGAACTAAAAATTTTGTTTTGGCATCTTCCTTACATTAAAACGAATAAAATGACACATCTACAGTAACAATACGAACTACCAACATCGAGATATCACTGTGCACATCTCAAATTCCCAACACACGCACACACACACACACACACACACACACACACACACACACACACACACACATCGGCCACCTTGGCTCAGTGGGTATAGTTCTTGCCTGCTGATACAAGGTACGCCGTAGGGCGTGGGTTCGATCCCCACTAGACGAATTTTCGAGGTTCGTTTTTTCGCCTGGAGTGGTCGAGCCCGTGCCCGAGGTAGAGCGGGTACCACTCAAAAAAGAAGACCCGGGCTATGTCACCAGCCTCCGAAGCGGTAAAAAACCCCGATCACTGTGCGAGCTGGAAGCGATAGGATAACCATAAGTAGGAGCCCGAGGCGAGGACTCACAAGGCTGGCAATAGATGGAGCACAAGACTCTCATGATGAAGTCAGAAGCGAGAACCACACTCACAAGAGGGCGCCGGATGCGGGAGCCTAGGCTCGTTGCGGACCGCATGATGGCGTCTGAAGCGAGAACCACACTCACAAGACGACAACAGAAAAGGAGGAGTATCAAAAACTCACGGAGACTCATAGGGTAGC